TTGCTGTCAGTGAAATCTGCATCAATCACATCCCCATCAGGCCCCTTGTTAGATGAATCTGAAGGCCCACTTTCAGCACCAGGTGTAGGGCCAGCACCACCTCCTGCACCGGGTTGGTTGTAGAGTGACTGGCCAAGCTGCATGACTTCTTGGTTGAGGGCAGCCATGGCATCTTTCGTACCTTGTGTTGAGCCCCCTGAAATTGCATTCCTGAGCTCTTGCAGTTTTGTCTCTACTTTCTCTTTGACTGGACCAGGAACCTTGTCTCCAAGCTCTTTCAGCTGTTTCTCTGTCTGGTAGACAACAGAATCAGCCTGGTTCTTTGTGTCTATAGCATCTCTTTTCTCCTTATCCTCCTTTGAAAACCTCTCAGCTTCCTTTACCATTCTATCAACCTGCAAATTATAATAATACAATTAGGAAATGATAATATTAAACATAGAAGGCATTTCCAATACTTGCATCGAAATCCAATGGAAATGCATTAAATCAAGCCACCAAATAAGTGCAAATAATTTGTGGAATGGCTTAAAAGCAATTCGTCTGAGCAACAAAAGAAATACATCGCAGAGTTAAATGCATACCTCATCACTGGGCAAGGTACTAGCACCAGTAATAGTGATGTCCTGCTGCTTCCCAGTGCCCTTATCGATAGCAGTAACAGAGAGGATACCATTGGCATCAATGTCAAATTTGACTTCAATCTGTGGAACCCCACGAGGTGCTGGTGGGATACCATCAAGACGGAAGCTGCCAAGTGATTTGTTATCCCTAACAAACTCTCTTTCACCCTGAAGTACATTAATCTCAACACTTGTCTGGCCATCAGCAGCTGTTGAAAACACCTCTGATTTGGAGGTTGGTAGTGTAGTGTTTCTTGGGATGATTTTGGTCATGACACCACCAAGAGTTTCTAGACCAAGTGACAAAGGTGTAACATCCAAAAGGACAATATCACTGACATCTCCAGCTAAAACACCAGCCTACAACCAATTGCGAGACAGAAGGAAAAACATTAAAAATAAAACCTATAATGATCTAAATCCAACCCCGCCACATTTAACTGCGAAGGAACAAATACTATATAGTTATTGCTATAACTTAAACAATACTCAACCCACCTGAACTGCAGCCCCCAAGGCAACAACTTCATCTGGATTGACAGTCACATTAGGTTCCTTGCCAGTCATCTTTTTCACAAGTTCCTGTACAGCAGGGATGCGTGTAGATCCACCTACAAGAATCACCTCATCTATGTCTTTAAAGGAAAGTTTTGCATCCCTCAAGGAGTTCTCCACCGGAGTCTTGAGCCTACAGAAAATATCAAACAGACAAAAGAAACCCAAAATCTCCAGTGATTAAAGCCAAAAATTTAGAAACAATGTCAAACCAATTTTTCCCCCCCTTTTTTTTTTTTTGGTGGTAATAAACAGAATGCAAACCTATTGAAATAATAAAAACTACCTATCAAGTAGGTCTGAGCACAACTCCTCAAACTTAACCCTGGTAAGGGTGGTCTCAATGTGTTTAGGCCCATCTGCAGTGGCAGTAATGAAAGGTAAACTAGAAAAAAAAAAGAATAAAAGAAAAAGCTCTATCATTAAAAACCACACAGAAAATGCACAAACAAAAACATGTACACAAAGAAATGAGGGGGAGAGAGATGCCTTATGTTTGCCTGAGTCAAAGATGACAACTCCATTTTAGCTTTCTCAGCTGTCTCAGTTAACCGCTGAAGAGCCTGTTTGTCTTTCAAAAGATCTATGCCTTCATCTCTCTTAAAGTTGTCAGCAAGCCAATCAACAATTCTCTGCACCACAAATAGATACATATGGACATGCTTCAGCACTAAAAGATACAACTAATACAAAGGAAAATGTTGATTCATCCGACTATACCTACCTTATCAAAGTCATCACCACCCAAATGTGTGTCTCCAGATGTAGAGAGCACCTCAAACACTCCATCACCAACCTCAAGCACTGCAGCATATTAACAAATACACAATAAAACACTTGCTGGTATCTTCACCAATAAAAGATAAATAAATGAAGACACTCAATGGACCCCCACCTCTCTCCCAGCAAATGAAAACCAAGACAACACACAGAAAATGCCCTCAGTTCTCATCCCAAATGAAACCCCAACAAAGAAAACATTCTCTAAGCACATTGCTAGACACTAAATATTTCAACATAGTGTAAAACATAAAGCATTATAACATAGAATTTAATAATAAATGCAGATAAATAGGTTCTCAACTCGCCAGCATACCTGAAACATCAAAAGTACCACCTCCAAGATCAAACACAAGGATGGTTTCATTGTTCTTTTTTTCAAACCCATATGCCAGAGAGGCGGCGGTAGGTTCATTGATAATCCGGAGAACTTCTAACCCAGCAATTCGACCAGCATCCTTTGTTGCTGTCCTTTGGGAATCATTGAAGTAAGCAGGGACAGTAACAACGGCTTTGGTCACTTTATCGTTCAAAAACTTTGAAGCATCATCAACAAGCTTTCTCAAAATCTATATATCCAAATGCAGAAATAACCCATTAGCAATAGAAAGATTCTAAATTTATATTAAAAAAAAAAAAAAAAACTGCTAATTTTTAGACTTAGCTTATAAATGCTATCATGAAGCTCCATCATTTGATCAATGATATGCAAAATTATGGATTTTCATCCATACCTTAAAAAACTTCATCAGCAATGCATTTAATACTAATAAACTGAAAATTCCATAAATTTTGGTTCCAAATAGGCTTGTAAATGATATATTAATGTTTGTAAGCTATTCGAGTTTGAATTGGATAAAACTCGAATTTGGCTCAAGTAGCTAAATTTATTGAATGAACCAAATTCGAGTTTCCTAATATCCGTTTGAAGTATCTCCCGAACCTAATTAAACTTTTATATTTTAATATATATTTTTATTATTTTAATTAAAAAATTATATATATTTATAAATTTGATTTCGAGCTCAAGTTCAAAAAATAAATAATCGCACTTGAAGTCAAACATGAAAATCAGACTTAATTTTTATTTGATAAACAAGTATAATGGAGCGAGTTCAAATAACTCGATTTTATCTCAATCGAGCTTAAACTTGAAATTTAAAATTCGATTTAGCTCAAGCCAAGTTTCATACAGCAAATTCCAAGTCTTGTATCAACTTGGCTTTGCTCTATTACACCCTAGTTCCGAAAACATTTGAAACTTCTCAAATGTCCAAGTCAAAAAAACTCTATAAGCAAAGCAAAGACAACCAAATTCATGACTAAGCATAACAGTACCTGAGCTGAAATTTCCTCGGCAGCGAACCTTTTACCAATGGCAGGACACTCAAGCTTAACATTCCCGTTCTCATCTCTAACAACCCTGTAAGAAACCTGTTTGGATTCCTCATCCACTTCCGACATCTTTCTTCCTATAAACCTCTTCACAGAGAAAAACGTATTCTCGGGTTCACAACGGCTTGCCGTTTCGCATCTGCCCAACAACCCTTCCCACCTCTTGGTATAAGCCACCACAGACGGCGTTGTTCTCTGCCCTTCCGCATTCGTAATAATCGTGGGCTTCCCTCCTTCCATGGCCGCCACGGCCGAGTTAGTCGTCCCGAGATCGATTCCGACCACCTTCTCGTTCACAACTCTCACCGGCCCAACATGACATCTTTTACCGTTGTTGTCGGTTTTAGCGAGTCGTAAGAAGGCGGCGTTTAACGACGACGTTTTGCCCAGTCTTTGACCAAAGAAAACCGTTCTGGGTGAATGGTTGTTGGGTTTTCTCGAAGATGCAAAACCAATACCACCAAGGACGTGGATTTGGGCAGTGGAGGAAGCCATTTTTCCAAGTATAAGTAACAAAAACAACTATGAGAACAATGAATTGAGAACAGATAAAGAAGCGTTTTGGATTAAGAAACTGAGAAAACGAGAAAAACCCAAGTCCCCACAAGGAAAAAGATTGTTAAGAAGGCAAAGGGAAATCGGAATTGCTTGGGCTGAGTTGGGTTTGGGGTTGGGAAGAAGATAAGACGAAAGGGGAGAAGGGCTTAGACTTTTTTAGAGGCAATAGGAAGAAGTGTGAGTGTGTGTGTGTGTGCGTGTGCGTGTGTGTGTGGTCTGTATGTGGGGGTTAGTGGTGACACGTGGCCATATTCTGAATGATCTGAAAGTTTGCGTTTAAAGACCGTTACATTTGATACTTTTGTCGCTGCTGGGTGGAAAGAAAGATCCAGGTGTTTTGAGAATTTGGGCTGAAAGGTTAATCCATTGTCTATTTATCCGGGCTGGTCAACTCGACTTCTGTTAAGATAGATTTTTTTAAAATATTGGGTTTCGAGTTAAGTTGAATTTTTTTAAAAAAAATTGAGTTCGAAATCGAACGTTCAATAAATCTCTCTCTCTCTCTCTCTCTCTCTCTATATATATATATATATATATATATTTTATTTATATATATTATATTAATAAAATTATTATTTAATATTTTAATTCAAAATATTAATTTAATAAAAATATTATATTAATATATAATTAAAAAATAATTTATATTAAAAATATTAATAAATATTAATTAAATTAATTTTGAATATGATTAATTGTAATTTTATACATATATAAATTAGATTATGCATACAAAATTAATATTTTAATATTATATCAAGTTGAGACATTAAATATAAATTTTATAAAATTAAATTAAAATCAAAATTAGTAAAAACTCATTCTGATCTAACTTATTACCATCTCTATTCTGTAGCATTAACGCATCTCAATGTCATCCCTGTTTTGGAACGAGTTGTGCAAGTAGAACTACTGTCCTAACTGCAATATGTCCATGCATGAAATTTTTACGTCTCAAACATATGAACATGACATTTAACAACCATAAGCCATTTCAGTAATTGCTAAAGGGCACAACATCTATCGATGCTTCTCTTATGTACTTCGATCCCTAATCGTGTTTCAAGTTCTGGAAACACATTACAAGGAAGAAAAGAAGTTCAGTGAAATTTGATTCATAATGGACAAGGGAAAAGGAAAACTACTAACCATGAGTAACAATAAGGCTGCGGAATTCATTACTGAATCCATTGATTTACTAGATGAGACCATGTTCACAACAACACATACAGCAAGGAGGGATGATATACTGCTCAAGTGGTTTCTGTGAATACAAATTGGAAGAGAAATGTGAAGCTAGGATAGTGTCCAGACTTTTCACATTGATTTCTCATATTTGCCAACCTGCATGTTATGTGCACATATCATATTTGGGAACTTCGAGGTGTAAGAATTTCAATTTTTCAGCGATTTCAAATGGAATCTTACATGTCAGCATAATAAAGAACTACCATCTCATTCCTTCTCTGTGATTACCACAAATACATCCTTCTCTGACCATCTTCTTCTCTCACGTTTAGCTGGGTGATTGATAACAGCTCTCTCGGCATTTCCTAACCGGTAACCTATGACAATCTCTCTCCTCTGCCGAGCTTGCAAGATTATTTCATAGAAACTCAGTTCTTCACCTTCATGAAGGTAAAGATCCGCTTGCTGAATATGCAGCTCATTTCCCTGATAAAATACGAGATTTTAGATTAATAAGGTTATTGTAATCAGAAGATACATATATATAGATAGTGAAATTTCTTATATAAGATTGTTTTGCATGACAGAAGGAACAATACTTAGACAAATCTCATTCACGCAAAATAGCAGCTCCAGGGTAACTTTTACAAAAGTTAATAACTTTTCGGAACATGACACAAATTGGTACAGAAAGTATAGCCGGAGGCGAAGCCAGATAATAACTAAAAGGGGCCAAACAGTGAACTGAATCATGAAAGAGGAGATGCATATTACTTTTGGTAGGCTCAGTTACTAATCTAGAATGGTGCCAAAAAAAATTTGGGGAGGGGGGGGCCGTGACCCCTGCCTGCCTCCCCTTGGCTCCATAGTCTGCCCGAATATAGCCAAGCACATTGTTGTTTTTCTACTACTTATAAACGAGCCAACGTAAAGACTACATAAAAGAGAGAGTACCTCTTCTGCAAAAAGCTCTTCCAGTACATCATTTATTTGCCGATCCTCCGCAACCATGGCTAATGCCATACTGACTAGCTCGTTTGATAAAACGTAATCACTAACCTTTGACATGGATAATAAATTTTTAGTCCTTGGATCCAGAATTTCACTGATTATTACCGATATATCGGAAGCTAGCTGCATCTCCCCTATGCAAGAACCTTGTGAGGAACTTCCTCTGTGACCTCGGGTTACCATAGCTTCTCTATATGGAAGACACTTGGCCTGCCACGAGCAAAATGTTTAAATTGTAAAACTTATAGTTGTGAAAGAGAGAAAGAGAAATTCTTGTGAACCAAAGAACCAAAAGCTGTAATTAAAATCTGTAAAGCAAAACATACAAAAACTATCAAAATATCAACAAAAATAAGAGAAGAAAACAATAAATTTTTAATTTTTAACGCATACAGCTATAGAGAAGGCCATCTGCCACCCGATTTTAACCCGTTGACCGGCAATTCGAATATCCATTTCGCCGGACGCCGTTTTCTCAACCGAAACGGCATTCGAAACGCCCCGTTTCTGTTCCAAAACGGCGCCTTCTTCTTCGTGTTTCGACGTTCTCTGGCTCCTGAGAGTGAAGTCGACTCTTTGGCGAAGGAAAATTATTTTTTCTTTGGTATAACAGATTGAAAATAAAGAGAATAAAATGGGTTAAGAGTAAAGTTATAAATAAAATTAATAATTTAAATTTAGTTCTTTCTTTTCACATTTGAAAAATTATATTTTGAGAAAAGAAATATGTGAATTCATTTATTTCATTATCTTTTTATTTTTCACGTACTAAATGGAAGAAATGATAATTTTTTTTTCTTTCAGTTTCTTTTTTTTTTCTTTCTTTTCTCTTACAAAATACAGTGTAAAAGAAAAGAATGGTTGATCAACAGCTCAGTTTTCAATAGTGGATATCTTTGTTTTTTTAAAAAAGAAGGGAAAAAGAGAGAATAAAAAAAAATTTCTTTTAATTTCGATAATTATTTGAATTTCAATTAATTGAAATATAACCGAATCAAATTTTATAAAAAATATAATTTTTTTTAATAAAACTTGAAATCAATAATTTATTAAAAAAAATTTAAATTACTTAATTATTTGAATTAACATACGTTGATAAAAAAATGTTTAAACTCTAATTTGATGAATCATCAAAAAACGTTGCTTTTCCTTAAAATATAAAATTATTTAATAATTAAATATTGCTTTGGACGATTTTGTAGATCTTTTAGCCGTTAAACGATTCAAAGATCTGTGTTGGAAAGCCATGGTGATCAAAAGGAAAGGAATTTGTGTCCAACAACTAACTTTTCATTTCAATGTATTGAATTTCTAATTTTTTTATTAAAAAAAAAAAAAAAGAGAGAGAATAAAAGAGGGAAACGTTTAAACTTAATTATACCTCGTATTATAATTAATTAGGTGAGTTATATTCAAGAAACATTACTTTTCCTAAAGCATAAAATTATTAATAATATTAATCGATTCAATTAATTAAAATTTATCTTATTTTATAAAAAAAATTTTGATTTAAATTACGTTTACAATCGTTTGTCATAATTATATAAAATATATTATTTATAATAATTTATTTTAAATTATTAGATACTATACGTCTTACATTAATTTAAAAAATTGAATAATTCTTTTTTATTGTTTTAAAAAAATTTATTAGTAATTAATATTGCTTTAACAATTTTGTATATCTTTTGGACGTTAAACAATTCAATGTTATGTCCAGGGTACTACGCTGAGCATCTACGTCTAGCTTGTCAGCACTAAAGTGTCGGAAGTGGTTTCAGTAAGATACTTTTGATTACAAAGTTAGTCAATTTGCTGATAAATGAAATTGGTATAGACATTTTTCTTTGTTAATATTATCAATAACATTTTTTAGGAAGACAAGATATAAATCCGACTTTTTAATAGAAAAATACATACATTTATTATTGTCATTAAAATAATTTTAATTTTTTAAAATCGGATGTCGATATTATTTTAATTTTTTAAAATAAAAATTTTTTATTATTTTTATTTTTTAAAATGATATATAATAATTACGCCATAATCACATGCCATTTACATTAACATTTAAATATTATATTAACATTATTCTAACAGTGTTAAAAAATTAAGATAATTTAATGCACCCAAATATAATTTATGTACTTAATTATAAATTTTTTTAATTTAGATGCCATATTATAAAATTTATAATACTTAAGCCTATTATCCCTTTCTTTTTAACATTAGTACGCATCCAGTAATGTCATATTCTTCCAATTTTTGAGTTGTATTGATGGCATGTAAGATATTTTCTTCTTAGCTTTTTACTCTCTTATCTGCTTCTCGGAAATCCAGTGCTGATGTTAGTTTAGGCATACTGGATGAGGGATAGGATCTCTTGTTATTAGATTTTTTTATTTGATATACAACAACACATTCAGCAAGGAGGGATGATTTACAGCTCAAGTAGTTTCTGTGAATACAAAATTGGAAGAGAAATGTTGAAGCTAGGATAGTGACCAGACTTTTCAGATTGATAAGAATTTCGATTTTTCAGCCATTTCAAATGGAATCTTACATGTCAGCATAATAAAGAACAAGCATCTCATTCCTTCTCCGTGATTACCACAAATACATCCTTCTCTGACCATCTTCTTCTCTCACTTTTAGCTGGGGGATTGATAACAGCTCTCTCGGCATTTGCTAAACGGTAACCTATGACAATCTCTCTCCTCTGCCGAGCTCGTAAGATTATTTCATAGAAACTCAGTTCTTCACCTTCATGAAGGTATAGATCCGCTTGTTGAATATGCAGCTCATTTCCCTGATAAAATACAAGATTTTAGATTAATAAGGTTATTGTAGTGAGAAGATACATATAGATAGACTGAAATTTCTTATACAAGATTATTTTGCACAACAGAAGGAACAATACTTAGACAAATCTCATTCACACAATATAGCATCTCCAGGGTAACTTTTGCAGAAGTTTAAGTTTTCAGAAGGTAACATAATTGGTACAGAAAGTATAGCCGGAGGCGAAGCCAGACAATAACTAAAAGGGGCCAAACAGTGAACTGAATGAGGAAAGAGGAGATGCATACTACTTTTGGTAGGCTCAGTTACTGATCTAGAATGGTGTAAACAAAATTTTGGGGCGGGGCGGGGTGACCTCTGCCTGCCCCCCTGGCTCCGCAGTCCGCCTGAGCAAAGCCAAGCACTTTGTTGTTTTTCTACCATTTATAAGCAAGTCAACGTAAAGACTACATGAAAGAAAGAGTACCTCTTCTGCAAAAAGCTCTTCCAGTACATCATTTATTTGCCGATCCTCTGCAACCATGGCTAATGCCATACTGACTAGCTCGTTTGATAAAACGTAATCACTAATCTTAGACATGGATAATAAATTTTTAGTCCTTGGATCCAGAATTTCACTGATTATTACTGATCTATCGGAAGCTTGCTGCATCTCCCCTATCCAAGAACCTTGTGAGAAACTTCCTCTGTGACCTCGGGTTACCATAGCTTCTCTATATGGAAGACGCTTGGCCTGCCATAAGCAAAATGTTTGAATTGCGAAACTTATAGTTGTGAAAAGAGAGAAAGACTGGAAGTCAATATTTGAAGTATAAGCATGTGATACGTTGTTAAGATTCAAGAACATGCCCACCATGAATAGCAATAATAAAATGACACGGTGACACGACACATACACGATACGAAAATACAATACAAAATTGACACGGCTTAAAATTTTAAAAATAACTATATATGGATTTAACAAAACAAAAAATTATATATATTTCATATTTTGGTATTGACATGAATTATGACACGTATCGACACGAATTATGACATGCTATTTTCGTGCAAAATATGGAACGAATACATGAATTTCAATATTTGACATGACACGAATACACGAATTGCCAATTTAGGCAGGGGTGGCTATGTCAACAATAAGGTAAGCCTTTTCTATTATGCAAGGAGAAAAGTCAAGACCAAATGAAAACAAAAAACTCAATAACCAATCCATTAAATTAAATTTGACTTAAAGATCAAAACTCAAAGCACCTGAATGTCACGAATCAACAGTAATGTGGCAAGAGATCTTGAATCAGCTTGAATAGCTGAATCTTCCACAGATTCATCAGCCAGAATTAGGATCTGTACAGACCACAAAAATATATTCAGAAATTAAACGGGGACAAATATTCTAGAAGCCCTGAAACTTTCCTCTTCATCTATCCTAGTTCAAAAAAAAAAAAAAAACCACTAAGGATACAAATGACCTACTGTATGTTAAATGGCATAAAAAATAATCAAGCTGTCTACAAACTTCTTCAATAGAATGGCAGCCTTCATCTTAAAATGTACATTATCCAACCTTCCTCTAAAAATGTACATCATCATGGGAAATCTGCTAGGTGGCTGCCGTGCCTTTTAACAATTACCATGATTTATTAACTGACAATTCCTTCTGTATGTTGTTTCATAAATATACAAGTGATAAAGATACTTACCGAATCAAAAGATTCCAAGGGAAGACTTTCTAGGTGACGTCGTATAACTGCATTACCTTCACGATTAACCAATGTTATATTTGTCAATCTATTGATGTCTAGACCACCATCAATAAGCTTTTTTTCCCTCTCATTTTCAAGAACATCATTGAACATCCAGAGTTCTGATCCAGGAGCTAGGAAGGCATCCAAAACCTAAACAAACATTAATGAGTACACATTGGTAATAAAGCAAAGACTGAAATGGGTTCTATTTTGCGCATCAGAAGTAAAATATGGGGAAAAAGTCTTGAAATTTGTGAAGATTTATTGACAATTAACACCGATATTGAGTGACAATATCATTGAGAAAATCTGAAACATCAATCACCACAGTTTGCACAGTGGAAGCTACAGCCAGGAAGCACTTGGGAGCACCATTGTAGATTCCTTAAAAAATTACCATAATAATGTCTTCCATATCCCGTCGCCAACCACAAAGAAGTATTTTTTCCGTTGATTTTGGGACAATAAAGTCTCCAGGTAAATTTCCTCTCCGCACCTGCAGCATTCAGCCGAAGAGAAACAGAATTAGGAGCTTCAATTAGAAAGAACGTACCACAATCATATCATCAACGTCTCTCCGCCATCCACAAAGTAGAATCTTCTGGGGCTTTCTTGCTGGTCGAGCAATGTGCATGAATGATGCTTCTTTGACCTGAATGACCAAATGGATTATATTTTTGTAAGTTGTTTTAACTATGGTATGCCCCACTTACTAAATTTCATCATGGGCTCACCCTATTGCGACTTTTTTCATGAATCACAACCTAAATGTGGTCGGGTCCCTTTTGATTCCTAATTTATCTTAGTCAGTTTTTAAGATTATTATACAATTATAGCAACAAATTCTTTATCACACTAGACTTAGAGAAAACAGAGAGAAATGGAAACAACCAATTGGCAATTCTCTCCACTTTTTGTTCCAAGTTCTTCACCAGTTTATTCTACCATCATTGATGGTGTTGACTGCAGAACATAGCAATGGCAAGAATTTTCTAGTAATAAATAGAAGGTCAGATTGTTATAACATTTTCTCACTTCAGGAAATAAATGGCAAATTACAAGAGGATCTAACTCTATGTCTTACTATAGACAACAAAAGGAAAATATCTATGATAACTCTACAGTTGCATTCATCAAGTCTGCATAACAGGTATAGAGCATCAGCTCAATGTACAAATGACCAGTTCAGACGGAGAAAAGTTTACAGAACTACCTGAAAAGTGACTGAAGACCCGATAACAAAAACTATGATATAATTCTGCCCAAATTGCATGAGCTTTTTCTTTCTTACACTTATCTGTTTCTGTCTTTATTTTTTTATTTATTGTATTGATTTCTCCAACTAGTGAGCGTCAATGCAGCTTGACTTGAATAAGGCAATGAATTGGCCAAATAGAACCACAAAAAGAAAATGGAAAAGGCTAGCAAGAATGACCACAAAATTTATTTTTGCATTTAGGAAAAGAAAAAAGCAAAATGAAATCACCATAGGTAATGCGCCTGGAGCATAGGTATCATCATCTTCAGCTATAACAAGCACTTCATCGCCTTCTTGTAGAGCATATGAGTCATCAGGATTCAGGATAATTTTACCCCCCCGGGAAGCAACCTTGACTCCACAAGGAACAGCATCAGGAAAACTGATCAATACATCCTCAAATTGCATACCATCCAATTGCGGCCATCTTTTTATGTAGAATTCACAATTTTCAAAGCCAAGGATATCTTCCCATATCTGTCACAATCACTCCACAATTACTAGAGATGTAACTGATAAGGAAACAGGGATAGGGCTAAATAACATAATAATAAGGAGAAAGAAAATTTAGTCACAAAGAACAACAAGGAACATCACATTCATACTGCCATCAGTAGAATATCACTGAACAAACTTCTCACACTGAAAATTGCAGAACCCAACCTGAGCAAGTCCTGGCTGCCGTGCACATTGAATCATCAAGCGTCCAATAACATCATGAGCTACTACAGTTTCAACAAGTTCTCCACCAACAAGTTTAACCAGAACCTCATTGTCAAGATCACTTAGTTCCACCACAATATGTCCTCTTAGCCCTTCCTTTACTCCTGTCAAACTTAAGACCGTTCTCAAAGCACGGGCATCACTCTGCATTACACCATGAACAAGAGTGAGCAACCATCATTCAACATCAGACGTACATAACATTAACACATTTGCGTAAGACCTGGTCAGCATTTCCATCTTCAGCAAGGACAATGATTGCACGGGCCTTGGAGACAGATACCTGAAAGAATTGGCATGTTAGCATAAAAATTAGTCGCTTCAACATGTACAAACCCCTTTAGCATTAGATATCTTTTCAACCAGCAGAGAAAATATCCTCAGATCATGTAGCACAAATGTAGGATGAAATTAAAGCAAAGTGCAGGTGCAGCAACCACCCTGAAGCAATTTAAGCACAAAACTAGAACAAGGTTGAGATTAAAATTACCCCCTTGTTTCCTCAACTACATTACCCAATTCAGATTTTCATTTTTAGATTATCTTTGAAGAGAGTTGATTCAGTTCAATATGATAGCTCAGCTTTGCAGCAGAGGGTAATTTTGACATATGAATCAAGAAGAAAAGAACCATACTTTTTTCAGGTCAGCCACAATCAGAGGGCTTCCACTTCTGCATATCACAGATGTCCCTCTGAAATCAAACTCCATTTTAGCAATATCAAGCTCCATCTCCTCCTTGTCCCGTTCAGCCATCACTACAACAATCCCTCCACCCAAACTCTCATTAGCTATGGCAAGTTGATTGAGCAATGAACCCTGCATCCACAACAAAATAATCAACAATATAGAGAACAACAGCATAAAAAGCTATCATACATACCAATTTGTGTCTGAAAACTTTATAGAGATACTCATAAGTTACCAAAGTGGAATAGAACAATTTTTTTCAATACTCAAAAAAACGCCAAACCCTCTTCTTGTGAAGTCAGAAGCATAATTCTATACCAAATGCTAAAGCAGACAATAAGCCTAGAATCTTGTATAGAATATACACATATGCGAATGTGGGAACACACTTATTTACAGCTGGTTGTAATCTTGTAATCTGTATATTTATATTTGTATCTCTAGAATTAAGTATTGGTATCCCTAGAATTAAGGACAAAAAATTAGGATAGACAATCTCTCAGTTATAGGATCAGTTTTAGGAAGATTTAGATTAGTTTCCTAGTTTACCCACTAGTTAGTTGTATATAAACCTAAGGTGCTTGTATAATTCTTAATGAGCAGTTTTTCAATATATTTAAGTTTTACTCTTAGTTTTTCACACAGTTTATTTCTTAGTTTTTCTACATGGTATCAGAGCTTTGGGCTCTTCTTGGGAAGAAAATTTTTTCAGCCTTCATTGCTAAATTCTATTTCAGGCCTTCATAGCCAAATCTTGTTAAATCTTTCATTCTTATTTTTTTCGTTCTTTGGCCTTCATTGCCTAGAATCATCTTTGGTTAAACCTTTATTATCAAGACTCGTTTCAATTTTGAGAAAGATAAACATGCCAGAGATAGCAGAATTTGCCACTACTACCCGATTTGAGGAAGTGACAACTAGAAAACCACCAGAGTACTACAGAAGTCTTGGGAACAAGGAGAGTTGGACAGCGAAGAGATTGAGAAACTAAAAAGCCTTTTGAAAACTCTCGAAAAGCCTACTGGGGTATGTTATTTGGGTAAGGTCTCTAGTTTAGGTAAAGCTTCTGGTTCTCATAGATTAAATGTCTCGGTTACGCCTATTATGAGTTCTTGGGTCATTGACTTAGGAGCTACAGACTATATGACACATTCCTCACAAAAGTTTAATACATATACCCTTTGCCCTAATAATAAGAAAATTATTGCTGCAGATGGTTCACTTACTATAATGGCAAGATTAGGAGATGTTCAAATTAATCCCTCATTCATTCTAAAAAATGTTCTTCATGTTCCTGGATTGTCTACTAATTTGATATCTATACAAAAACTTATTCTATGAACTACAGAGCGACTTTTTATCCCTGTTATTGTGAATTTCGGGACCAAAGTTCGAGGAAGAGCATTGGACTTGCTAAGGAGAAGGATAGACTATACTACCTTGAGATATCAAACAACACAAGTAATATCAAGAATAGTTTACCTTTGTCATTTCTTTCTAAAAATTTTCCCAATAAAGACAAAATATGGCTTTATCATTTTCGTCTTGGACATCCTTCTTTTGGAACTTTGAAAAACATGTTTCCTTCTTTGTTCAAATTATTAAATGACGAAAATTTTCATTGTGATGTTTATGAACTTGCAAAGCATAGATGTGTGCCTTTTCCAGTTAGCAATAAAAGAAGTTCTACTCTTTTTTACTTGATTCATAGTGGCATATGGTCCTTCTACAATTCCTTATATTTCTGGTGCAAGGTGGTTTGTTTCTTTCATAGATGATTGTACCAGAGTCTCTTGGATATTTTTACTTAAATCCAAATTTGATGTGAATAGTGTGTTTTTAAGCTTCCTAAGCATGATCCAAAATCAATTTGGAGTGAAAATCAAGATATTTAGGTCTAATAATGCAAGAGACTATTTCAACCAAAGTTTATCTACCTATTTCCAAAATGAAAGGATTATCCATGAGTCATCTTATGTTAATACTCTACAGAAAAATAATCATTTACTAGCCACAACCCGAGCTTTACTTTTTCAAGCAAACGTACCCAAATCCTATTAGGAGAAACTGTCCTCACTGCCACACATATTATAAATAAGTTACCTTCAAGGGTTTTGGGATTTAAAACCCCTATAGAACTACTCTCATAATTCTATCCCACCTTTAATGCCACAAACAACCTCACACCTAGGATATTTGGTTGTACATCATTTATTCATGTTCACAGTCACAATAGGGGGAAGTTGGATCCTAAGGCAATTAAGTGCATTTTTGTGGGATATTCATCAACTCAGAAAGGGATAAGTGTTATCATACTCCTACCAAAAAATTCTATGTGTTTGCAAATGTCACATTTGAAGAAAGTAAACCATTTTTTACTCAACCTTATCTTCGGGGGGAGACTTCATTCATGGAAGATAAGGATAAAGACTTCTTTTTGCTTGATTTATCCTCCTCTCACATTTTCACCCATTAATTCTTCTGAATCGAAACTTGTTTCTTCTAAGTGCAAGTCAAACACTAAATTTGAGTCTAAACCCATTCCAAAAACACAAAAGATGTGGCAAAGGATAATATTGTTCTTGATTCCATGAAGGAATTACAGGTGTACTCAAGAAAGTTCCAGATTCTGAACTAGTGCAAGTCTAAGAACCTGATCCTAATTCTGAAAATGAGATAACTACAGTTTTTTACTCTGTTTCTCAAAATGAGCATGAATCTCCTAAAACTACAACTAATGATTATGATCTACCTATTGCCATTAGGAAAGGAAGAGAATGTACTAAGCATCCACTATACCTAATCTCTAAGTTTGCGTCATTTGAAAAATTCTCACTATCCCACAAAATTTTCTTGTGAGTCTAAACACTATTTCTATTCCAACTACATTATCCGAGGCATTATCCAGTGAGAAATGGAGGTAAACCATGAAAATAGAAATGGAGGTCTTAGAGAAAAATAAAACATGGGAACTGATAGAGTTGCCTAAAGGAAAAAATCCAAATGAGTGTAAATGGGTTTTCACTATAAAATACAAGGTGGATGATACTGTTGAAAGGTATAAAGCCAAGTTGGTGGTTAAGGGCTACACTCAAACTTCTAGAGTGGATTATTAGGTAACTTTTGCTCCAGTTGCCAAGATTAACACAATTAGGATTTTGTTATCATTCGCTGCAAATTACAGTTGGCAACTTCAACAATTTGACATAAAGAATGCTTTTCTACATGGTGATTTAGAAAAAGAAATATATATGTAGGTTCCACCGGGATTTGGAGGTCAACTAGAAGCAAACAAAGTATACAAGCTGAAAAAGGCTTCATATGGCCTTAAATAGTCTCCTAGGACTTGGTTCGAGAGATTTTCCAAAGTGATGCTAGCAATGGGATATAAGCAAAGTCAAGGAGATCACACATTGTTTATCAAGCACTCTAATTTAGGGAGAGTCACAGTTCTGTTAGTATATGTTGATGATATAATTGTAACTAAAAGATGGTGAAAAAGAGAGAGAATCTCTAAAACAGTGCTTGGCTAGAGAATTTGAGATAACAGAGCTAGGGAGATTGAAGTACTTCCTAGGAATTGAAGTAGCTCACTCATGATATGGTATTTTCATCTCACAACAGAAATATGTGATGGATCTTTTGAAGAAAACTGGGAAACTCGCATGTAAACCTGCAAATACCCTTATATATCCTAATCATAAACTTGGAGAAGCTAATGAAGATGATACTATAGATAGAAAGATGTACCAAAGATTAGTTGAAAGACTCATTTATCTCTCACATACTAGAGCTGATATAGCATATGCTGTTAGTGTGATAAGTCAATTTATGCATAGTCCTAAAGAAGTGTACCTACAGGCTGTCTACCGTATATTGCACTATTTGAAAGCCAATCCTAGGAGAGGTATCTTATTCAAAAGAAATTCAAGGTTGGTTCTAGAGGCATATACAAATGTTGATTATACAGGTTCAGTAACTGATAGAAGATCCACCTCAAGCTACTGCACTTTCCTAGGTGCTAATCTTGTGACTTGAAGGAGTAAAAAACAGAATGTGGTGGCAAGATCAAGTGCTGAAGCAAAGTTCAAAGCAATGGCTCAAGGAATTTGTGAACTATTATGGTTAAAAATTATCCTAAAAGACTTGAAGATCAAGTGGGATGGACCAATGAGACTTTACTGTGATAATAAGTCTGCAATAAGCATTGCACACAATCCTGTGCAATATGACAGACAAAACACATTGAAGCAGAGCGGCATTTCATAAAAGAGAAACTAGACAATTGGTTGATTTGTTCACTGTATGTATCAACCAAGGGTCAACTTGCAGATGTGTTAACTAAAGGTCTCAGCAGTGCAATATTTCAAGAAATTATTTCCAAGCTGGGAATGAAAAACACCTATTCACCAGCTTGAGGGGGAGTGTGGGAAAACACTTATTTACAATTAGTTGTAATCTTGTAATCTGTATATTTATATTTGTATCTCTAAAATTAAGTATTTGTATCCCTAGAATTAAGGATAAAAAATTAAGATAAACAATCCCTCAATTATAAGATCAATTTTAGGAAGATTTAGTTTCCTAGTTTACCCACTAGTTAGTTGTATATAAACCTAAGGTGCTTGTATAATACTTAATGAGCAGTTTTTCAATATACATTCAGTTTTACTCTTAGTTTTCCATAGTTTATTTCTTAGTTTTACCACAGCAAATAGATATGCATGTATAATGTAGAACAAGAATAGGGAAAAAGATAGATAACAGAGATCATAGGGAAAATTTCAGAGCAATGGAAGTAATTAGGGAGAAATAAAAGAACTAGGGATGGAAAACAACAAACCAAAAAGAATAAAAAAAAATTGAAAAAAAAAGTAAAGGGAAACAAAGAGAATCAATATGGTAGAAATCTCAATATCATAATTTAGAATTAGTGAAACTGACAACATGAGTACTTATGGATTTAGGGCAAAATATCAAATATAACCCTAAATGTCCTAATAGGTACATAAATACTAAAATTTCCAATTGAACCCATAGTAAACAAGAAAAAAAATAAACGAAGTCCCAAATAATTTGTTTCTCCAATCAACTTCCTTTATCCTGTATCACTGTATGTGCATATGTGTCCATCAAAATATAATGGGTACTGTGGTGAAAGTACATGCAAAAGGTTCTAATGCTAGAATGTTTGGCCTTAATTTACGGGGAAAATGGATTATATATAGTAGCTCATTCCCATCAACCAATAAGCACAAACTTAATAGACCAAACCCCCATGAGAGAGTCATAACTCATAACCATAGATAAATTGTGAAATTAAAAGTTTACCAACTTATCACTCCACCCAAGAATTAGAGTGTGATTTTGCTCAACAACCTCACTTCTTCCTTTCCTTAACGAATCAAATTTCTCAGAAATTGCATCAGAAACAAGCCCGAGCATCATTGCAAATATAAGCATCCCACCAAAGCTTATAGAAACAGAAACTAATCTGGGACCCATTCCTTCAGAGCTGGCATGGTTACCTGAATCAGCAACAAAAGTCCAAGATAACCAAAGGCAATCTGCTAGGCTATCATCAGTGACGCCAAAGAGTGCCAACCCTCCGAGACAAATAAGCATTAGAGTTGCAACCAGTAAAGCAAGGGGCTTTGCATATGGATGAACTGATAAAAAGACATCAACCCGATATTCAAGTTGTGTATTAAGTGCAACCTTTTCAGAAGAATTATCTGAGGATCTCAACTTAGAGATATAGTCAATATACTTGAAAACAAAAATAGGCATGGATAACAGTGCAATTGAGACCATCAGAGCTAGAATCTTTAAGCCTTTTCTGGAAAGATGATCATTCTCTTGCAATAAAGAAATAGTATCTAGAGGGTCCAACAAATTGCAAGCTTGTAATCTAATATTCAGAGCCGATATTTGGTCCTGCAAGCAAGAAATTTTCTATTTAGCAAGTTTTCTCGTAATAACTAATATACCATGAGTCAAAGATGATTACTAATCAAGTTTGGAACCCTATAGTTTGAACAGATGCACATACACTAGCTCTATTATTACTACTACATAAATCAACCCTAGATTTGATAAATGCTCAAAAAGCATTCATAAGCAACAGGCGTAATGTGTCATCATTATTTTCCTTTAATTTAAAGAAATGAATTGGGTTTCCTATCAACGGCAGAAAATTAACTTTTCGTTTGGTTGTTATAATTTGAAAGGAAAAGACAAAAAAGGCATTTCCATACAAAAACAAATACTAATACTTCTGAATAATTAGAACTAAAATTTGTAACTAAAAAGTATGGAGTATTTTTCTTTTATATGAGATAATTATGTATTATGTATGTGAAATGTAGGCCTATTTGTGCACCAGTTAGGTGAATAAGCTTCTGGATTTGAAAGAGACCAAAGCTTATAGAGGTAGATCACGAAAGACGTAGATGCAACTAATAAGAAATGATATGAGGATTAAGAAAGTAGATGAAAAGGTTGTTTTTCTATAAAAATGAGTGGTGCAAGAAGATTCAAAACTACGAGCTAGCATGATTCGTTTTTTGGCCTTTCATATAGCCGACACCAGAGTATGAGCCTTAGTTTGTTGTTGTTGTTGTTGTTATTATTGTTGTATGAGATAATTATGTATGAATGTGTATTACTATATTTTATCTATTTGCTTATATTTAATCAATTATGGTATAGAGGTATTGCATCCAGCAACTTTTCAGGAAGCAAAAAGCAAACATCGAAAGTAACAACCAAACATAGCCTCAGTTAACAGTTTACAAATGAATCAAGAAAGTATGAATTTTAATGGAAGTTATAAAAATTTTTTATAAATATGAAAAATGAACTCAATCATAGGAAACCCCCCATCTCCCCCCCCCCCCCCCCAAAATAAAAAACAACTTTTGCCTATTGAAGCAAGTTCATAGACTAAAATAATTCAGTTTACTAAACAACTGTAAAGCATTATCATTGAACTAAGCATGAAATGTTATCAGCTTTGAAGGGAAATGCAGCATAAATATTGAATGTACCTGCAAGTCAATGACTTGGTTATGTAAAGAGAAATTCTTGTGAACCAAAGAACCAAAAGCTGTAATTAAAACCTGCAAAGCAAAACATACAAAAACTATCAAAATATCAACAAAAAGAAGAGAAGATAACAATAAATTTTTAATTTTTAACGCATACAGCTATAGAGAAGGCCATCTGCCACCGGATTTTAAACCGTTGACCCGCAATCCGGATACCCATTTCGCCGGACGCCGTTTTCTCAACCGAAACGGCATTCGAAACGCCCCGTTTCTGTTCCAAAACGGCGACTTCTTCTTCGTGTTTCGACGTTCTCTGGCTCCTAAGAGTGAAGTCGACTCTTCGGCGAAGCCTTCCGTAGTTGGGGTCTCCATAGGAGGCGGAACTAGAGGACGAAACGCTTCGAAACGTGGGCGTTTTATGGGGCTTCTTCCAATCGGAAGGGGGGGAGTGTCTGGGGATCGTGGTGAACTTCCGAGGGTAATTTGCGGATCGTGAATGGTGGGAAGTGGAGTGGATGAAGGAAGGTGAAGGGAAGAACCAGTCCCTACTGGAGGAAGGAGAGGATTCTGAGTCAAGGGACATGGATGCAATAATTGGAAATGTTTTGGGGTTTCTTTTTAAATTTATTTTTTGGGTTTTGGGATTTGTGGGAGAAGCCTTAATTTAGGATATAAATAGTATTAGTTGTGTGATTTAAAATAATCAACAATTCCAATATCGTTATTTTGAGTGAGTGAAATGCATTGCCTTTTTAAAGAGCAATTAGAAATAAGGATTTTTTATCATCTTCTTTTAATTATATGGAGCAATGTCATTGTGTTTATTTTTATTATTTTAAAAGTTTAGGATTAAAATTAAAGTAAATAGTTAATTTAATTAAGATTTATTAATTTATTAATTTTTATTTTCAATTTTTATAAATTTATAAATTATTTACCAAAAAAATTTATAAAAAAAAATTCAAATAACATTCGTCAGTTACCAATTCTACAATGATCAATTTCATTGTGTTGAGTGATCGTGGATCCCTCCTGTTAATTTTATTGTCTTCTTAATATTGTAGTACTAATTAAATTAAATTATTTAAATGAGCCAATAAGCTTACAGTTTTATTAAAACCCAGTGTCTCAGCCCAAGTTATTCGGCCTATTAAGTTTTTTTTTTTATTTTATGTTTCCAAGTTATATACTTCTCTTTTAAATAAATTTGATAATTCATGTTATCATATTATATAAAATTTTATATTTATATTATATTTTATATAAAAATTATATATCATAACTTATATCGATATAAAAATATAAAATATAATTTTTTAATTTTATTAAATTTAGTTATAATTTTTTAAAAGTTTTAAGACTTATTATTTTTATATTTTTTATTCGTATTTTTTTCATATTGTATCATTACATCATATTTTTAAATTATTAAATCAATTTTTAAATCTGTTGTTGTATTATTTTTTTTTATTTATTTATTTATTTTTAACTTTTTCTTTTGAATTTATAATTCTGTATCTACTTGGATTGAATGGTTGAGTTATGACTTGATTTTTTAAAAAAATATTTAAGTTTGTTGAAATGATTTTTTTTGTTGATAATATCTCATTTGGTCTTAGTTATTACTTTTTTTTTTTTTTTTTGTACCTAGAAAATTTTAATAAGGTACCTACACTATATTTCTATATATTATATACTTGATTATAAAGTTTTTTTAATTTAAATACTGTATTAAAAAATTTATAATACTTTAGAGGCCAAATAAAGCATTATCGCTTTCTCTTTAGCATTAGTATGCACCTAGTAATGTCATGTTCTTCCAATTAGTTGAGATGTGTTGATGATACGTAAGATATCAATTAATCATTATCACCCGTAATAGGATCTCGATACTATATTTTCTTATTAAATTTGTGTTATGAACGTACATCAAGTCTGGAACCACCAATGATATTACTGACTGGACATCAGAGTGCTATATATACGATTAGGTTCAATCCAGTTGGGACTGTTGTCGTTTCTGGATCGCATGACGAAGAAAATTTTCTTTGGAATGTCCATGGTGACTGCAAGAACTTCATGGCTCTAAAAGGGCACAAGAATGCAGTCTTGGATCTTCATTGGACCAGTGATGGATCCCAGATAACATCAGCTAGCCCTGACAAAATTTTGAGAGCATGGGATGTTGAAACAGGGAAACAAATTAAAAAGATGGCAGAACACTCTTCTGTTGTGAATTCGTGTTGTCCATCACGGAGAGGTGCCATCCAAACATTTCCTGATAAAATACCAAATTACAGCCGTTAGTTTCTCCGATGCATCAGATAAGATCTTTACAGGTGGCATTGACAATGATGTTAAGATTTGGGAACCATGACACTTCACGGTCATCAAGACATGATAACTGGTATGAGTTTGAGTCTGGATGGTTCCTATCTTCTCACCAATGGTGTGGGATTGCAAACTCTGCAAATGGGATATGCGCCCTTATGCACCACAGAATCGTTGTGTTTTGAAAAGAACAAGTTGAAATGTGGCTGATCACCAGATGGAAGCAAGGTCACAGCTGGTAGTATGGATAGGATGGTGTACAAATGCATCCTGTATAAGCTTCCTGGCCACACAGGGTCTGTGAATGAATGTCTTCCATGCTAATGATTATGTATTGGTAAATACTAACTCTACATTATGTATTGGCTCAGTTTCTCTTCAGGACCAATCTTGTTCTCAAAAGTTTTCTCAGAAAGTATGAACAGCAGCACTTGCAAGATTATTCAAAAACTCTGCATAACAAAACAAATTATTTCACAAGAATTTATATCAATAGTGGTAGAGACAGCATAATCATGTAGAGAAACAATAACATAACGAATCCGGAGCTTAACTCAATTACTGCATATCAAATGGACAGTTTCACTACATATAGTTTGTTGATCAATTAATGCAGGAAAAGAAAAGAAAACATAAGCATGCAAGGCATCCGAATCAATTATCATCAGCAATCATATCCTTAGAATCCACATCAGGGTCAAGGGCAGGCATTGTGGAATTCAGATCAAAATCGACAACAGACATTTTGTACCGGCACAATGGACATGCATTGCTCTCTTTAAGCCATTTAACTATGCAACCTATATGGTAAATGTGGGAGCAGGGCAAGCGTCCGGCTTCTGTCACGATTGAAAAATCTTCAAAGCACACCAAACACGACACTAATGATGTTCCATTGATGTTTACTTTCTCCAATCCTTCAATGACTGTTTTACTGGCAGGCCTCATCATCTTTGGAGGATCAATATTATCAACAAAAACATCCTCAAGAAACTCAACAGTATCAGTTTCGAGTACGATCATATCTTTCATGTAAGCATCATCGTGATCAACAATGAACTGATCATCCCTGGGAAACGTGGTGGCTAATGGAATGCATATAAAGGCCTCCTGTCCGTCCGAATTCAAACTCAAACAAGATACTAAAACTTGATCTATTTCAGTAGACATATTGGAACTTGAAACGATGGCAGCAATTAAAAAAATGGAGGGTTGCAATATTTTTATATTGCCAAAGCCTAATAGAATGATTAGAAGAAAAATATATACAAGAGAAAAGGCGATTGTATCCTTGTATTTGTAGGTTTCCTAACTTTTGAAGGATTATTATAATTTAGTACTAGAAAATTTACCCACACTTCGTCGCAGGACAAAATTTTTTATTTAAATAGTTTTATTTTAAAAAAATATTTTCCTTATGGATAAGGAGAGTTATCGACATTATTGATGACAAATGTTCAAACGTAAACAAATGGTACACATGCCTTCGTACATCAACAGGTAGCATAAAATTCATTGATAAATGGGCTTCAATTACCATTTTAATTAGGATTAAAATTCATGATGTCGCATAAAAAATATGATAAAGATTGATAGATTCAATTTTAATTTCAAAATTACCCTTAAATTTTTTTTGGACATTGATGATCTATTCATGTAATATAACGTTGGGATGGTTTTTATTGTTAATAATAGATATAAAGATTAGTTCCAAAATTACTCCTCAAATTATTTTTTAAGACAAAAATGATTTGGCTTTAAAGTTATAAATAGGGGAACAGTTTTAATTGTTTTTTATAAATTATGTAAACAATGTATAGTTTACATAATATGTTAAAGAATTAAATTTGAACAATGACAATGAGGCATTCTAGTCAATTTTAGAATTGAAGATTTTAAATTTAAATTTCAATTATAATTCAAAAAATTTTTAAAAAAATCAATTATGTTTATTAAACACAATAATTATTTATTCATTTCTCAAATTAGTTTTTTATGTTTATTTTAATTTAAATATAAAATATGTAGATAAATGATACTCGAGTCCACTCTAAAATTAAAAGATTAGAGTTTGAATCATAATTATAACTTAAAATATTAAAAAAAAAACCCTGTATTTATGATAAGAATTATTTATCCTTTCCCAAACTAGTTTTCTTTGTTCATTTTAATTTAAATATAAAATATGTAGTTATAAATTAACTTTTTAAATAATTTTTTTAATTGATAATTAAAACCCTAATTTGAAAATATAAAGTTATAAACTTCTTCAAAAAGTTGTTTTCCTAAATGTATTATTAGTTGTTAGACAATTTTTTTCCTCTAATTTTCATAAGCATTTTGTATTGATTATTGTGATGGTTCGCATTTTATTTTTTTAGATTCTACTGTATAGCTAATTAATGTAAATTTTAAATAACATATTCCATATAATATATTACTGATTTTCAAAATGAAAATTTATTTTATTTCATGAATATCTCTTTAAGAAACAAAAGTAAAAATCAAACATAAAATTGGAGACAAATCAAGTAGATCTAATGATTTATGTATTTATGTTGTGGAAAATATTAAAATTTTTATATCTATTGTGTTTTACATAAAAATTACGTGTTATAATTCGTGTCAAAATAAAAATATAAAATATAATTTTTTATTTTGTTAAACTCATATATAGTTATTGTTACAATTTTAAGCCATATCACTTTTATATTCTATTTTCGTATTATATTTATGTCGTGTCATCATCATATATAATTATTGTTACAATTTTAAGTCATGTCACTTTCATATTCTATTTTCGTATTATATTTATGTAGTGTTATCATGTTATATTTTAAATTACTAGATTTAAAAGCAAGTCCATCGTAAAATTAGACACATAAGTAAATACAATTGGATTCAAATCTCTTTTTTATTCTTAAATTACCGTTTTTCTTTGTAAAAAAATAAAATATTTGTAAATTGTAAACCGGTAAACTTAACTTTAATAATATTTTTATGAATTTTTATAAGAAATTATATACACATATTTATTACACAAATTTTAGAAACATACGTAAAATTTTAATTAATCTTGTGCAATTTTTTTATGTAAATTTATAGTTGTATTAATAAATCAAATATTTCAATAATAAGTTAACTCTATTGATAAATTTTATACTAAAATTGATAATAAAAAATCTAAAATTTTATGCAAAAATATGAAAATTTTAAAAAAAATTTGAAAAATTAAAAAGTGTAAAAAATCTAAAGCTTTTTAAAAATTTATAAAAAAATAAAAAAATTATGAAAAATTAAAAAAATGAAAATTTTAATAAAAATAAAAAATTTAAATAAATCTGAAAATTTTAAAAAATTAAATATTTAATACAAAATCCAAGAAAATTTTAAAAAAGTTTCAAAAAATTCAACAAAAATATAAAAATCAAAATTTTAATAAAATTTAAAAATTCTTTAGCTTCAAGAAATGTTTATTTTTATTAAAATTTTATTTTTTATATTTTTTTAAATTTTCAAAATGTTTTTGAGTTTCTTAGATTTCTATTAAAATTTTAAGATTTTTTTTATTTTTTAGAAATGTTTATAATTTTTATATATATATTTTTAAATGTTTAAGATTTTTTTAAAATTTTAATTTTTTAGATTTTTTTTAATTTTCAAAATTTTTTAAAAAAAATTTAGATTTTTTTTACTTTCAAAATTTTTTATGTTTTGTGGATATTTTAGATTTTTAAAAAATTATTTTTATTTTGATTTTGAATTTTATAAATTTTTTGTAGTTTTATTAAAATTTTGAGTTTTTTTGAAAATTTTAAAATATTTTAGTTTAAAATTTTTTTAATGAAATTTAAAAAAAAAGTTTTTAATAATAATCTTATAATTGATGATGTAATATTGATTGAATTCTTTTTTTACATATATTAGTATCTTTTTTAAATCTTAATATAAGTTACCTGAAAATGTTAATTCGAGATATGCAAATGGACATTTATTGAAATATCATATAGTACTTTCTTTGTCATTTAGTATTAAACTATCAATAATTTATATCTAAATTATTAATAATTTACTATTATATTATTATGCATTTTTTGTTATGTTATTATTGATTCACTACTTAGTTTTCGATTATTTATTACAAAATTGTCATAGATTTAATATTAAATTAACCATAATTCAATATCAAGTTATCACTAATTTATATTAAATTCTTCATAATTTACTATTAAATTATTTAACTATTAAGTTAGTGATAATTAACTAATACTAATTTATATCGATTTACTTTCCAATGATTAATTATTAAATTATCGTTGATATATTATTAAGTTATTTATGATTTAATGCTAAAATTATCAATTGATTACTACTAAATTGAAACTAATATACTTTTAAGTTATTATTTATTTATTATTAAGTTATCATTTATTTATTATTAAATTATCAATGATTAATTACTAAGTAATCATTTGCTTTTTATTAACCTATTATTAATTTACTAATATATTGTTATGCGTTTTCAACTATGAAACATAAAATTTAAAAAGTCTACCAATAATATATTAGAAAATTTTTTTTATATAATAATGTTATTGTTTTATTCAAGTTTTAAAAATTTTCATTAATTTTTTATTAAATAGATTCATGGTAGGTTTATCTTATTTCTTCATGGTAAAATAGTATATATTAAAATATGTTTTATTGATGATTTAATTAAATTATTAATGCATATATTTTTATACCTTTTATTGAAGTATAATTGCATATAAAAGATTGAAAATTTTGAAATGTTCTATCACTAATGAAAGTAATAAACTTTACTTTATGTTTTTATTTTAAGTATATAATTTTGGATAGAAATTGTGTTATATATAGGATAGAAGTAATTAAAACAAATTTACTAAATAAATTTTATAAAAATTAAACAAATAAAAATTTTAAAAAAATTTAAATTCACAATAATTATATTTCATGAATAATGTAGTAATAAATTATTGAAAACTTAAAAGTAAATTAATATAACTTAATAGTAGTAAATCATTAATAACTTAATAATTAATTAATGATAATTTAATAGTAAATAACGAGTAATTTAATATAAATTAGTAATAATTTGGTAATAAATTATGGTTAATTTAATAATAAATTATTATGATTTTGCAATAAATTATTGAAAATTAAATAGTAAATCAATGATAATATATTAATAAATTGTTAAATATATTATGACACAAAATTTTATCAATAATTACTAAAAGTATATCATAAGTTACCAAAATATTTCTAAAATTACATTAAGAGATTATTAAAATTTTATAAAAAATTACTAAAATTGTATGAAAGTTACTAAAATTTTATCAAAATTACCAAAATTATATTGAAAGTTACTAAAATTTTATAAAAAATTTTTGAAATTAAAATTATATCAAAAGTTATCAAATTTTACTTGTATTATATCAAAATTAAAATTAAATTAATAGTATTCCTCAATGTTATCATAATATCAAAAAATTATTTATTGAAAATTAGAGTATTAAATTAATATATTATTTTTTAGGTATCAAACTAATAAAAAATGTGGGGGCAAATGAGTATTTAACCTTAAAATTTTTGCGGTTTGTCTACTGTGTTGTTGCGTAATTGTGAGGAATATAAGACCGAAGGCCCAAGGAAACAAAGTGCAAACATCTGCAGGGTTTCACAGACAAACCAAAAAGAAAAAAAATGGCTGCGGCAGCTTCTTCTTCTCTTCTCTTCAATCCGTTGACTTTTCGTCTTTGTAACTCCGCGAAGAACCTATCCTCTGACCTTTCTCCCCACACTCTCAAACTGGGTTCTTATGGGCCCACTCTGAGATTGAGGAAGCTGAATTATGGGAAGGGATCAGCTTCTGGCTTCTCTGTTGTATGTAAGGCTGTGTCCGTTAAGCCTGACACTCAGATCGAAGGACTTAACATTGCTGATGATGTTACTCAGGTCTCATTCTGATGCTTCATTTGATATTTATTTCTTGAATTTGATTGGATTTGGGCAATGGGTTGCTTTTGCTTTTAGAAAATTCGACTTTCAGTGTTTTGTTTGCATGTAATTCTGAAATGGTTGAATTTGTTTCTTGGAAAATTTTTAGTTTTGCTTCGTGGGGTTCTTAGTTTTATTGGTATATTATTTTCTTTTTGGTGTAATTTACGATGGGTTTTATATTTTTCAAATATATGTTTCAATGAATTATTGTATAATGTTTTTGATGCTAATGTTAATGTAACTGCTAGAGCTATTGTTGGAGGCAATGTTACTTTGGTTTGAAGTTTTAACTTTTATGTTCTCCATACTGGAATTATATGACTTGTGGGATTGGTTGTCTTTAACTTGTAGAGGAGCCTAGTGGTAAAATAGTTTTTAACTGGTACCAAGTAACAAATATTTTTATGGATTTCAATTGTTCTAAGATTCCAACTTTGTCTATTAGGCTGTGTGAATTAATAAAGGTAAGAACCACAAAAGTTGAAAGGCTATAGTGCATTTGTGTCTGTAATAGTGTTAGATAGTATTGAAATTAGCTCAATTGAAGTTCTTTGTTTCTTTCATCAGGATGTCATATGTCTGATTGAGTTAAGACTAGTTGTTCTGCACCTAGAAAGATTATCTCTTCAGTTTATGTTTAGAAATAATCCTTATTATCAAAACAAATTGGAAAGTTAGATCTTTTTTGCTGGTCTATTTTGTTATATGAGGGAGTTTAGTTCTATTAATTAGTTTTCTTTTCCCAATGCTTCTTAGGTTATAAAGAGATAAGGCACGGGATTATGATCTGAACATGTTCTTGAATTGTGTTCACTGACATAAACATAAGTGAGCATTCATAATTTCATATTATTACTATTAAAGAAGGGGGGGAAGAAAAGGTTTTTTTTATACCATATGGGATATGCAAGATTCTGTTGAGTTGTTTGATTTGGTTATCTGAAAATTTTCAAGCTGCTTTTTGTCTACTAATGACTTGTTAATGGTCTTAATTTACTATTGCCTCCTTTCACTTTCTCAACTTGTGGTGCTGTGTGGCATTGTCTTGTCCATAGTGGTCTCCGGATACATTGTGACTGGTCATTCCATCTGATAAAGTACAGGGCTTGAGTCTTGTTCTTCTATATGAAACCCTGTACCATTTTTCTCAGGGCATGTGCTATCTCAATGGAGAAAGAAGTGAACTCCTATGAATCTATTGGTCAATGCACCTTTTTCTTTATTTCTGTGCTTTGTTTCATTATTTATTTGTTGTATTGATTGTTTTGTAACAGCTTATTGGGAAAACACCAATGGTGTACTTGAACAATATTGTGAAGGGCTCTGTCGCAAATATTGCTGCCAAGCTTGAGATTATGGAACCATGTTGCAGTGTGAAGGACAGGTAGCCAAACTTTTTGTAAGCATCTTGTAGCTTCTGTGCATAGTTAGCAGGCTCATTGTTTGCTAATAGTTAAAAAGCATTACCATGTGTTCAACCTGGAAGCCGTTCTAAAGAACTTTATATGTGCATCCATAATTAAGTTCTTCTCTGGCCGTATTTATTCATATATGAAGTTAAAATTAAAATTTAAACTTCCGGAATCTCTTGGTCAAGGCTTAAATGTTGCTATCGAGTTCATCATTAAGCCTAAAGAAAAACAGGAAATTAATATCATTTATTATTGTTTTCAGGATAGGGTACAGTATGATTGCTGATGCTGAGCAAAGAGGAGTTATAACACCTGGAAAGGTAACGGAAGGTCGACAAAACTTCTGTCTATGTGCAGTCGATGTGTAACAACTAAATATATGGTCAAATTTTCTATCTCAATACTTTTTTGAATACTTTAGCTCAATTTTGGCATTCCTAGATAATGGTCTTCTCGAATAGGCAAGTTAGAGTTCTATTTTAGGCATAGGCTCCCATTGTTAGACCAATCTGCTGCTGTTTCAGTAATCATGAGTTCAGGTCTAATGTCGGGATCAATTGGTCTAGCTTGTCCTAGCACTGAAAGAGAGGCCTGACTACATAACTTAAGGTCACAAATGACAAATGACAAGCTGTCCCTTATAGATGCCTGCTTTTTAGTATATCATCACACCAGTTATTAGGCATCTTTTAGGTTTGACCTATTTGCTCCAGCATGGATTAAGGGCACAGCTTTTGCATCTTATTTTCTGGTTATTTAGTGAATGGTTTCTAGTGTGAAATCCTGTTACATGTCATCGCCAATGGTTTTCATGGCTCTCTATTGTTGTCCACTGATGAAATATGGCTTGTGGTTCAATTTAACTGGCAAAATGTAATACAGTTCATTGATTTCTTTTCTTTTTATTATGTATATACTTACATTTGTGAGAGGATGATTGAAATTACAAAATTACCTTCTAGATCATTTCTTAATGTTCATTACTGTCAACCTCATTTGTGAGTGTTACCTGTTACATGCTTTTGAATAGATTTGGGCATGTTGCTCACTTTTTCTTTTTCAATATTTTCAGAGTATTCTTGTGGAACCTACAAGTGGAAACACAGGCATTGGCCTTGCATTCATAGCTGCCTCAAAAGGATATCAACTTATCTTGACAATGCCTGCATCAATGAGTTTGGAAAGAAGAGTTCTTTTGAAAGCATTTGGAGCTGAGCTTGTTTTAACTGATTCAGCTAAAGGCATGAAGGGGGCAGTTCAGAAAGCTGAAGAGATTTTGAAAAGCACACCCAATGCCTACATGCTTCAACAATTTGATAATCCATCAAATCCTAAAGTTTGTATTTGCAACTCCTTATTAGTAGCTTGTTGAATTTTTGGCTTGGGTAAAATTCATGTTTCCTTTTGCAGATACACTATGAGACAACTGGACCAGAGATCTGGGAAGACACCAGAGGCAAAGTGGACATTTTTATTGCAGGGATAGGAACTGGTGGAACCATATCTGGAGTTGGTCGGTTCCTTAAAGAAAAAAATCCTAAAATCAAGGTGATTATTTCCCTTTTAATAAACCCTGGATGGCACTTATCTCACATGCCTTTGTGAACATTATTGCAATCAATTTTAGAGAAATGTTTTAGAAAATTTATCATCAAAGAAAAGTGAATTTGCAGTGTCTCCTGCTATTGATTGTCTTGGCAAGAAGGGCCTTGCCTTCTTTTGCAACTGAATTGGTGACTGTTTGTATTTGACTATGGGTTATCAGGTTATTGGTGTGGAACCCACAGAGAGCAACATACTTTCTGGTGGAAAGCCCGGTAAGAGAAGATGATTTTTTGAATATGATTATCTTTTCATGTGTCAAGTTTAGGAATGCGTAGCTTAGATTGACACTGTACCTTCCCCCCATGAAATACAGGTCCTCACAAGATTCAAGGGATTGGAGCAGGTTTTGTACCTAGGAATTTGGACCAAGATGTGGTTGATGAAGTTATAGAGGTCTGAGTTTTATTTTCCTTCTTCCTGGTTCATTGTTTGTGACTACTGTTAGTCAATTTTTAGATGGCCGTATTATCAAGAAAGCAGTCATTGAGGTTTCCTTTCTATTAAGTTTCTCTAATGGCTTCAGTTCATGAAGTTTCTTTTTTGTTTTAGTAGATAGAGTTTAAATGAAATTTGCAAAGAACAGTCTTTTTATAGTTGAATAACCAGTAAGAGGGTCAAGTTAATTGAAACATTTCTTCTAAGTTACATAAAATTTTCCTCCATTAAGTAAGTGGACATATTAATTCATGCGGCTTCAGGTGAGGTGATGTAGTTGGAGGTATAGCATTTTCATGTTTAGCTGCTGATAACAGCATATGAACTTAAATAAAATTCAAGTCTGTTTAGTTTGGGTTTTTCAGTTACTATGTTAATGATTTAAATGGTGGAGAATGTAAGATCTATCAAACCTAACCAGATAAAACTGAAAGGAAAAGAAAAAAAAATGCAAATCAACTGGTGCGATTTGCAGGTTTCATGTATGGCTTTCATGTCCAGCATATTTCTCATAAACCTAACCAGCTAAAACTGAAAAGGAAAAGATAAAAGAAATGGAAATCAACTGGTTCTAGTTTCTGGGTTCATATCAAGACATTTTTAATAAGCCATGTGGTTCAAGTCAAATTAGAAGTCTAAATTGCATGTTAGTTACAAGCTTTTATTTTGTAATGTATACCTTCTGATGGATTTGACTTGACAGATAACCAGTGATGAAGCAGTTGAAACTGCAAAGCAATTAGCCCTTCAGGAAGGCTTGTTGGTAAGCTATTTTTCTTTTACTTTACAGTGACTTCAAAGTTTGCAGTTAAAGCAAAAGTGAATGAAGGTCCTTTACAGACGTTTACTTTGTAATCATCCTATTCTTAAGCAAGTAATAGGAAGTTAATGCAAATGGAAAGAAGTCATTTTCTTTTCTGGTACATATGAGGTCCAAGGGGAATGGGAGATTCGAACCTTGGACCTTAGCCCCTCCTAAAGAGTGCAACACCTGTTTGGCCAACTCTAGGTTGTCTGAACTTGTTAAAACTACAGAAAGAGAGGTAGAAGGAAAAATAAATATTACTAATTTAATAAGACTTTTTTATCTCCTTAAACTTTGTTGGTTTGATAGACTATTTTGGATGGACAGACTGGTTCGCTAGTAAGCTTGTATTACTCAAGGAAATGACAAATCTTTTATGCTAACAAGAATGAGGGAACTGTATCCTGTTGATTAAGTTTCTTATCTTCGCGTCTGGCTTTCTCCAACATTAGTGATAGCTGGATGTGGGGCCGTAATGTAGTTGGGTCAAGCTGAGTATTAGCTTACCCTGGCTCAGGTTGATCTCAAAAGGGCATTTTTCTGGCTCTGCTCGAGTTTGAACTGAGGTTTAGCTAAGCCTGTACAACGTGGTCTGACAATTTACCCAAGCTCAAGCCCAGCTTGGTTGGCTTACCATTCTAATGAATTCTTCTTTTTTGGTTCTTTTTCTTGAGAAATTCTTCATTAAGCTTAGCTCAAGCAGAACAACTTGGCATGAGAAATCTTGACCACAAAACCAAAAGGATTTCATGGTAGCAAGGCTATGATTGAGAGAATTGATAAAAAAATTTTTTTTTTAAAAAGAGCGCCCTAAATCAAGGAAGCAACCTAAAAACCAATCATGTATAACTGACGAGGAGAATGACGGTTTAGTTGGTTCCTGAGAGGAATCCAACTGCTCCCTTCATTATCCTTTATTTTTTTAAACTATATTTCCTTTCTACTCTCTTCCTTTGTCTATGTTGAATCTCCATCTTTCTTGTTTTTCTGTTAACTGGAAGATGAAATATACTGGCTTTGGTAGGTAAAGTGACAGCTCGGGCCATGTCATGGAATTTTTAATAAAGTCAGTATTTGCTAGATGAGATATTAATAAAAACATTTTATTTGCAATATGTTACTCTAGTTTAGTAAACAAATCAAGCGTAGTATAGCTTCACCTAAGCCTTAACAAGCGTAAGGTTGCTTTGACTTGGCTCATTAAGAAAACAAGCCTTTTCTTTAGTTATGAGTTTGTATAAGACTTTACAAACCCAAGGGAAAATTAAAAAAGAATAAAGAAAAAGAAGAGAGCAAAATAAACAGACAATTGAGTTCTCTTTGTCTTACTCTTATTCTACATGTCCTATACTATTCCTTCGTTGCTAATTTGATCCATCATATTATGTAATATCAGGTTGGCATATCCTCTGGAGCAGCAGCTGCTGCTGGAATGAAGGTTGGGAAAAGACCCGAGAATGTCGGGAAGCTGATTGTGGTGAGTTATTTTGCATCCCTTAAGAACTTGAGCTGCAGTTTTAAAGGAAGAATACTTATATTTGGAAATTGTAAACATCAAATATATCATGGAAGCTTGTTGAAGTACATTATAGTTAACAAATTTGAGGTATAAATTTTATTCTTGCCAAGAAACTGAATGAAGGTTCCACATCAATTTAGAAAGCTACCTAGGATGAAATTAATCCTGAACTTATGTTTTGCATGTGTGTGGGTTTCTGGAGAGAGGAGAGGTCAGAGTTGGGAGTGTGTGGGATGTGGTCGAAAAAACAAGTTATGGACGTATCATAGTTTTGGTAGACTAGGAAATGACATATATTAAATAGTATTATTCCAATACATTATCTATGATATAACTCATGAGAATTGAAATACTTTCAGGTTGTGTTTCCAAGCTTTGGCGAGCGATACCTCTCCTCTGTACTTTTCCAGTCTATTCGAGATGAATGCGAGAAAATGCAGCCTGAACCATGAAGTCTCCTGTATTTTTTGACAAATAAAAGCAAATTTTCCTCCTTATAGATTTTGTACCTTTTGGTGATGGTATGCATACCAGATGAACACCATTGAGAAGGCCTTTACTTGAAATTCTTCAACTATGAGTTAAGACAGCAGTAAAATACTAAGATTCTTGACTGGAATTCTCCTGCAATTTCTTAAACAAAATTGCATTTTGTATTTCACTGTTATAGAACTCAAAAATGACGCAGAACTCTATAAACAGAATAGAAAAGATTGAAAGCTGTTCTTCTACCTTCTAATGACATTTTCTTTCTGGGAAATTTCAAAATTTTTTTTTACTTGCAAACCAGAATCACCGTTAAATTTCTTCAAATTCTTGAGTACATGTGGTAGAAAAGATTGAAAGCTTCTTCTGGAGCTGAAGGAGTGTTACAGTTTATTGAATGTGTTACCACTTCTGCAATTACTGGTGGTTTACTCTGGGTATTGTTTGGTTTTTGGCTTCTGTTACATACTTTAGCCAACGCCACCGTGTACTCGTCCATTAGCTCCGCTATAATTGCCACTAGAATCATCTTTTCGAACTTGTCCGGCTAAAGCTAAAGACTTGAAAGCTTGGGATCAACGATATAGCAGATCCAAATCAAATACCTGAAAATTTAGTGGGTCAAGGGAAGGTATCAATGTTTATAAAGAAAAGGTAAGGTATGGTTGTTGGTGTCAAGCTGTCTTGACAAGGGTAAAACCTAAAATCATGTGGTAATAAGTCGGTTAATAGGAAGTTCGAAAACTAGGAAGTTGAATTAAATAGTATATACGAGGAAAAGAGGTTATTTATATTTGTAAGATGAATGTATCGAATTTAAATGATTTGAGTTTTAAATGATTAAATTAAGATTGATATTATTGATTTGATATGATCTAACTATTAATAACTTAATTAAAAAAAAGTAATTCAATATTTTTATGCATTTTTAAATGATAAATTGATATGATTAAATTGATATGAATATCGAAATTTTAAATTCGAATAAAAAAATTAATTTATTCATGTGTAATCGATGAGTCATATTTTGAAATAAAATATTTATTTTATTCTTCACCTTAACATATTCTCAACAAAGGTGATTTGGTAAGGTGGAGTAATCGACAATGACTCTCATTTTTTACTTTTATTTATTTATTTATTTATTACAACTATTTGTCACATAATAATTAGATAATGATGTGGTTAAATTAACTTGTTTATAAAAAATAAAAATAATATCTCTTATGTGGAAAAAAATTTTAAAAGCACCATACTCTTGAAAAAACTCATTGTTTGGGTCATTCAATCTTTTATTGAGTAAATTACTAACATAATTGATGTTTGATAAAACCACAAAAAACCAATAATTTTAATACAATTTAGAAATCATCATTTTAAAAGAAATCAGTTAAACAATTTTTGATGGCTTAAGCTCTCAACTTGTATCAATATGCTAAATACAAAATATATTTTTTAATTTTATTAAATTTATATATGATTTTTATCAAAATTTTAAATGATATCGATTTTATATCACATTTAAAATAAGACTTCTAAATACACCACAAAATTTTCTTTATACACCTTTAAAATTTTCTTCCAAAAATACTCACATAGCAAATATCAATTTTAACATTTAATAAATCACAAAAATACCCTCAATAACTTATATACTCCAAAATCTTCTTCATAAATCTCGAAAATAGATTTTCAAGAATATATATTTTGTTCTCGATAATCCATTTTCGAAAAAACAATATAATTCTCAAAAATAATTTTTTAAAAAAATAATATAATTTTTAAAATTTGATTTTTGAGAAATATATTAAGTTCTTGAAAAAGAATTTTGAGAATTATCTTGTATTTTTGAAAATTTATTTTCGAAAATACATAAATTTTTGTTTAAATATATATTCAATTATAAACTCTTGATAACATTTAATTTTAATTTAAACAAAATAAGTACATAATTTTAAAATAAATAATACTAAAATAAATAAATCTGACGTGCTAAGATGTCCAAATGTCTTTAATGATTTCTTCAAGTTATGGTTTAATTCTAACAATAAAGATCTCTAATTTTTAGGTCACCAGTATCCTAGTGATAAAAAAAATTAGATATCCTTACTATCAGATTGTTAGTTTACTGATAACATTGTTAGGATTAATATTCCATAAGGTGTTTGAGCTTGAACATGTATCCATTCTTATTTGATCATATATTCGAATGAAAAAAATATCTTAATTTTCAAGCATGTTAGTTGTTAAGCATACATGGATATAAAGGTGTTTTTATCTTGAGATCAAATAATCACAAACACCCTTTTACCTATGCAAAACCAAAAAATGGTGTTCTTAATTTTCTAAAGTCTATAGAGAAAAAATAAATTTATATCATGCATGTTCAAAACATCAATTTCAGTTTCATTCATACACATGATCAAGTAAATTGATTCATAAGCACATGATAAAAATTTTCAGTAATTAAAAATGAAATCGAATTTCTCAAAATAGATATCCAAGAAAACTCAAAACTTCTCAAATATTCATTTTCGAAAAACTTGATCTCAAAAAGTGAAAAGATAAGAAGACAAAACGTAAAAATAAAAAATAAAAAGTGAAAGGTTAAAATATATTTAGTAAAAATAAAAAATTGAATTTTGAATTTTGAATTTGGAGTATATTTAAAAGGGGGGTGTCTAGTAGAAAGCGAGGTGGAAATAGAATTCCTCTGTTTAAAATTACCAAATCTATATCACAAGGCAAATTTCTCAAATATTTAATTGGAAGTAAAATCAACTTCATCTGAAACAAATATGTGAATATAATCGCCTTATCCAAGATGGCCAGGAAGGCATTGCTGGGAATATCTTAATGCCTTGTTTTATGAAATCTCAAGATTTGAGTTAAGAATCTATCAAGTAAATAGTAATGGGTTACAACCACTTTCCTAATACTCATTTGGCTCAATCACTGATGTTGAAAGAAGCCTTCAATCTCCCAACAAGGTGTGGCAATGTCTTCATGTTATCCTCGATTGACTGGTTGACGCATGACTCCAACTCATTGATTGCATCAGTTTTAATCTGCTGATACTTAGCTGATTCAAACTTGTCTTGGCAGACCATCAAGGTTCTATTCAATCTTTCCTACATCCATTACAACAAGTATTTATCAATGATTCAATGCACCATGAAAAGTCAACACAATTGAACCATACAAATATGAAGAATCGTTAGATTGATAAGCACAAAAGAATTAACTTCAATATGAACCATAATAAATGGAGAATCTTTTATTTAAGGTTGAAAAACATTTTTTATTCAAAGAACAATAACAAATTTCTAACTCATGTCACCACGTGTTCATTCACCAGACATTGCCATTAGCCTTAGTGAAGGGTTAATATTACAAACAACCCCTAAATTATAGTAAAATATTCAATGTAGTATCTGAATTTTAAAAATCACTAATGTGGTATATGAACTAAGAATTTGTTAACTAATGTGGTACTTGAAAGGTTGTTTGTCTGCCACATGTCATCATTTGGAGCTAACTACGTTAAAAGTGAATACCACGTTAGCTAATAGATTCTTAGCTCAAATATTACATTAGAGATTTTTAAAGCTCAGGTATCATATTGAATATTTTCCTATAGTTCTGGAGCCTTTCATAACATTAATCCTATAGTGAAATAAATTCCCGAGTTGATTAATTTATGAACCCAATTGGATCATTGCAGTTACCAACAAATTGACTAGCAAAGCAGCAGGGAACTGGTGATGTAATAGAACTTTTCTGAATGACTCGTTCTCTTGCTTTCTTATCATATCATCCAGATTTCTGTTTCGACCTCCAAACTACGATACTCAGCTGGGTGTTAAATTCCAGCTATTTTGGAATCATTAATCAATCAATCAGGTCTAAACTACAAATTATGTTACAGTAATAACTATATGCCATTTGCTAATTCTACACTACAACACTTAAAACCAACCTTAAGATGTCATATTCCACATTTGAGCATTTTCCAGTAAATAATCTTTAATTCAGGTTAAAAGTAGCTAATTACATATCCAGAGACCAGTTCAACTTAACTACCATTGGCTGTAAAGAAAAAAAGAGGAGGGAGGAATAATATGCAAAGCAAGTAGCTTGTCATAGATTTCTAAATTGATTTAACAAAAGGGATGGGAGATCAGTCTAATGGCACTTCACTGCCTTACCACTCATAAAATGAGAACAATTCTCTAATATAATTCAGAACCCACTGGATGCTTACAAGAAGCACGACCAATACAAATTTTGTGACACATGGAGATGGTTAACTTTCTAGATGACAGAAAACTAAAAGGAGAAGGATCTTCACCTTTGACACTTCCTAACAAAGGAAAGAGATAGTATTGTCCATCTCATCACATCAAATCCAAGGATCCTCTTTGTTCAACTACTTAGAAAATGCATACAAGTGAAAGAAGAAACTCAAGAGACAATGCATTCAATGTTGCTAACTTTTGGAAACCCTTCTAAAATAAAACTCTAGAAAAGCATAAAAAACAGACAGTAACAGCAGCTCATACATGATCTGGAAAGAAACTGTATAAGGTCCCTAAATTTGTAAAGACACAAAGAAAAGTTGTGGAGTGGAAGCAAGAAAGTGAAGTGACAATGGAAGCAAAATTATAGCCTCAGAAAAGTTAAAGCTGTTCAATGAAGAGAAGACTGAAGCCTCAACAAAAATTAGAAAAAAAGAAAGAAAATGAACTTACTTGAAACTTGGCCATCTCATTCTCAAAATGCTGTTGAGCATTAACAACAGGAACACTGCAATGTTCTACACAATTGCTTATCTCCTCTTGTTTCCTACTTCTATCAAAGCACTCGTAGGCACACTTGAAATACGCTTGCTGCAACCAATCATCACAAGAATTTTAAACAAAAATAAAAACCAACGTGACCAAGAAGTTAAAATCATTATCATAACTGGTCAGACAATAAACAAGCATGATATCTAACAATATTCCAGAAAAAGGTAAAGGCTTTTAATATCAAAAGCAATCAGCAAGTTCAAAGCTTTTTCTTCTAATCTCAATTTGGTGCTAACAATTCCTAAGCATGAATTAAGCAGAACCCACATACCAAAACGAATCAAATGGCCCAAAGAAATCATATTTTTATGGAAAACGTGAAGGACTAACAATCCTAAGCATGAATCAAGCAGAACCCATACACCAAAACGAATCAAATGACCCAAAGAAATCATATTTTTATGGAAAACATGAAGGACTAACAATCCTAAACATGAATAAAGCAGAACACATTCAACAAAATGAATCAAATGGCCCAAAGAAATCACATTTTTATGGAAAACATGAAGGACTAACAATCCTAAGCACGCATTAATAAGAACCCATAAACCAAAACGAATCAAATGGCACAAAGAAATCATTTCTTTATGGAAAATATGAAGGTAAAGGGGCTATATCCATAAGAAACTGACAAAAAAGAAAAGATGCCCATGTCAAAAAGACAAGTAAATATTTCAAATTTGGAAGAAAGAGAGGGAGACCTGAAGAGTGAAATTGATGTGGTCTTGGACAGGAGCAAGCTGGGCTTGAGCTGCCATATTCACTTCATTCAGTTTCCTCCTCATTCTTTCTGAAACTAATTGCTGTTCAGCTGCTGCAATGTGATCCATTTTTTTTCTTTTTTTTTTTCTCTGTTTTCCTTGTTTTTTTGCTTCTTTCGTTCAGTCAGTCTGACTTAAGAAAAAGACTGAGAATTGTACACTAGGGTTTATAGGGTTTTTGGTTGCTGTTTAATTGGTTTTGGATCTGTTGATGGGCTGAGTTGTCCGCCGACCCGACGCGAATATTGTTTTATTAATAAAATTGTTTTTTATTTAAAATATTTTCAAAATATTAATATAAATTATATTTAAGTTTATATTTGATTGTAAAAAATATTTTTAATTTATTAATTTATTTGTTAATGAAAATTTTATATTATTTTTAATTGAAATAAAATTTTTATTTTTTATTTATTTTAATAAATTAATTTTTTTAATATGTATTATTATTATTATTATTATTATTTATCATATTATCTATAGTATTCATACAATTTTTTATTGAATTGGACATGAATTTTGATGAAATTACATAAAGATCAAATCGAAAAAATAATAAAAAATATATAAATAATGATATTTATGTTTTTTATTTTTTATTTCACATATATTAAAAATTATCTACTCAAATTATCTATAAAATAACTTCTATTTCATAGATAAATTCTTTTTTTCAAAGTATTTTTTTCCTTTCCATTTATACAGTAAGCATGTCTAAATTTAATTTTAAATAAAAGTTTATATACATAATATATTTTTTGACTCCACGAGAAAGGTTTCCTGCCAACGAAAATCAACGTTTACCACTAGGTAGAATTGGGAAGCCGTAGGTGGGTAAAAAATAATTTTGATTAATAAATAAAATTATTATATTTTAATTATTATATATAAAATATAAGATAAAAATAATTATTTAATTTAATTTAATTTATAATATTATCTTATTTTGAAGTGTTTAAAATTTAATTTTAATCGAATTAATTGATTAAATTAATTAAACTCAATTAATTAATCAATTATCAAATTAATTTTGATTAGTAATCAAAAACAATTTTAAAAAAAATTTCATTTTTAATTAAATTAATTGAATTTTAATTAAAATATAATAATGTTTTTATATAAAACAAAAATATATAAAATTACGCATTTTATTACAAATTATTAAAATTTTTGACTTAATATTTTGACATTCAAATATTTTTTTATGAATAATTTTATTTATTTTATTTTAAATATAATAAATTAAAATTTTAAAATATAATGTAATTTTATATTTTATTATTTAATTAATCAAAATATTAATTAAACCAATTAAATTAATTTTAAAATAAAAAATTAATTCAATTAACAAAAATAAAATATAACTCGTTTGAACAATTCAATTCAAAATTAACTAAATCGACCGCAAATTCATAATATATTCGTTTTTACCCCACTAGAAAAGATTCCCCATGAATGAAATCAACATTTACCAGCTACTGCTTGAATCATGGAAGTCATCCAAAGGCCCACGTGTCCATCGGAGTCTTCAGATCTGGCAAATTCAATTTTCTGTAGAAAACTCTAGGAGCCCACGTCATGCGATTCACCTATTCTTTTGCATTCTCGCTGCTCCCTCCTAGATTGTTCGCGTAAGACCACGACCAAGAACAAGAACAATCCGGAGAAATCCTCCTCACCCTTATATATATACATATCAACACCATTCCCACCTCAAGAAATCACCCGACATTGCTAGACCATAGTTTCCGTCAAAATGAGAATCCAAAATATCACCAAAGCCTTTGTTTTCTTGATGGTAGTAGCTGTCATGGCAACCCAAGTGAATGGTTTCGTGCCCTACGCAAGGCCCCTGTGGGACATGATGCTCCCCGAAGACCCTTTCAGAATCCTTGAACACACCCCACTAACAGTCCCTAAAGGGGTTGAGAACCTGGCCTTGGCTCAAGCAGACTGGAAAGAAACCCCACAGGCGCATGTCATCTTCCTAGACATTCCAGGGATGAAGAAAGATGATGTGAAGATCGAGGTGGAGGATAACAGGGTGGTGAGGATCAGCGGGGAAAGGAAAAATGAAGAAGAAGTTGAGGGAGAGAAGTGGCATAGGGCTGAAAGAACTATTGGAAAGTTTTGGAGGCAGTTCAGGCTGCCTGCCAATGCAGATTTGGATCATATCAAGGCTCATCTGGAGGATGGGGTTTTGAGGGTTACTGTGCCTAAATTTGCAGATGAGATTAAGAGGCAGCCTAAGGTTATTGACATTGCTTCAGTGGCTTCTTCTGGCCAGGATATCAAGGCCACCTCTAAGGCTACTCAGAAATAGATCTTTTCTTTTCTATTTATGTGCTTGTTTCGTTTTTGGCTTTCATGGTTTCGTGTCCTTCGAATGTAATAACAAATGTGTTTGTTATGTGTGATCGATGAATGGCCTGTACCTTGTAATTGAATCTGCAACTTTTAAAACTTCTCCATCGTTATGCATTTTCATGCTCTAACATTTTGAAGTGCTTTTTCTTTCATACAGCCTTCTAAGAATCAAGCTATGCTCTCTAGATGCAGTCTCTGAGTAGGTATTGTAGGTGACTTCCCAGTGAAGGTTTTAACTTTCTTTGGGTGGTTGGCCTAAATCTAATAATAATATAAATACGATACGAAAACAAAATATAAAAATAATATGATTGAAAATTTTAGTAATAATTATATATAAATTTAATAAAATTAAAAATATATATTTTATTTTTTGTGTTAATATAAATTATAATATATAATTTATATATAAAATATGATATAAATTATATATAAATTTAACAAAATTAAAAAATAAAAATACACTAATAGTCAACATAGTAGGAGCATTAAACATCTTACTTGGATGGCCACAAAAACAACTGAAGTAGCTTTTACCTTTTGCAGGATCTAAACTTTGCATTAAGCTGGTGAATTGGCTTGATGGCAGATGGAACAATGGATATATTGATTTTTTTTATTTGAATTTATCAGGCCCACTAAAACTAAAAATTCAACATTTTATTAATGACCGGTGGCTAATGAAAATCAATTTGATTGAAGCTGCCATTACACAGAGCTATTAAATAATTTACTTATAATTAGTTAAATAATCTAAAATCAAATGATTGGTCAATTCTTTCGATTCATAATGTATTTTTATTATTAATAATTAAGATTCAAATTCTGATAATCTCAAATAAAAATATTTTTACTTATGACTTTTTCATTTATGAGTTCTATCAATTAGGATACTTTGGTTTGAAGTTTCAATCTAATTATTTCAAATATAACAAAATATTTCATGAGAAATGAGTATATTAAAAAGAAATGAACAGAAATTAAACCCGAGAAAATATTATTTATTTGATATAGCCAAGCCCAAGATTAAATGAGCCCAAATATTCCATCCAGATACAAGTCCAACAAAGCCATATAATTCAAAGCCCAACACTAAACAAGGGCAGTTCCGCCATTTCGCACAGATAATTCACTCTCATATTATTAGGGGCTGCTGAAACGCATTCTCGTTTTTTCTCTTAACATTCCCATTTTTTTCATTAAATTTTTGTAAATAAATTATTTAATTACTTTTCTCACAATTTTTAAAAATTTTATAATTATTTGAAAATAAATTTTGGAAAAATCATATAATTTTTTAAAAATAAATTTATGAAAAATCATAAATTTTTGTAAAAATAGATTTTAAGAGAATCATAAATTTTTTCAAAAAAGTTTATAATTTTATAAAAATTTATTTTCAAAAAATTATATAATTTTCCATAAATATATTTCTGAAAAGATTTATCATTTTTCGAAAATTTATTTCTAAAAATTTATATGAAAGAAAAAAAGATAATTACATAATTTCACTTGCAAAAAATTAAAAAAAAAAAGATACCAAAAAAAAAAAAAAAATCTGAGATGCATTTAGTAGCACTTTTATTAGGGTTAGGGTTTTGGTTCCTCACTTTCCACCCTTAATATAAAGGACCCTTTTCCATCACCAATCTCTGCAATGTCACAGGGCTCCTCTGTTCCTTCTGTTTTCAATATATATATATATATATATATATATATATATATTTTTTTTTTTTTTTTTTTTCAGAAGCCAATTTGCCGAGCAAAGCCGTCAAAATTTGAATGAAAATGGCGTGATTTGCATTGAAGGCTGGCAATAACATTAAGCGATTCTCCGTGCCCATCAAATGTGTTGTTCGTTTTGATCGTGGCCTCGAACAAGTCGCTACATCTTTTATTTTAATTTTTTTTTATTGCGCTTGCAAGACAAAGTAAAAATTTTCGTTTTCATTGTTTGAATTTCTTGGATAATAAAAGAAATAATTTTATTTTCCAACTTTAAAATAAAATTGAATTGTTTTTATGGAAATGGTGAGAGGATCTCCGCAGTTGTGAGCTGTGACAATTATTAAGTTCTTAGAACCCAATGAGTTCTTGTGACCCAAAGATGAAAAGACAAAAAAGAATTATAAAAACAGTGAAAACCTTAACTTTCGTGTCATATCAATTTTTTATTTTTCAACAAAATCACACTGGTCCAACGTGGAGAGCACAACGAAAATAAATTAAAATTAAATTACCAATTATTTATATTGTCATATGTATAAAATATTATATTTTTTTATATTTTATATAAAAATAATATATTACGATTCATATTGATAAAAAATTTATTTAATATTATATCATATTTCAATTTATTAAATCTTTATTAGATCAAAATCATTCATTTCAAAATAAAAATCTTGAATTTGAATATTATATTTTTTATTGATTAAGATCGTTCATTTTAATATAAAAATTTTTGAGTTTAAATTTAATTAATAATTTTTTATTAAGATCATTTCAAAAGGTGACTTTTTGTTAGTAGCTTCTTTTAAGCAACAACGCATTGATTTAATTGAAAAATAAGTTCTTACAACCAATGAGTTCTTGTGACCCAAAGATGAAAAAGAAGAAAAGAATTTTAATTGAAGATGTAAACTACATTGAAACCCTAGTTTTGAATAAAACAGTAGTCAAAATTTGAGTTTTACACGAAAGAAAACTCACAAAAAAAAAAAAAAATTTTCACGTCGTATCATTTTTTTTTTCAACTCATCAAATTGGTCATTACGTTCTAAATAATATATTAATATTTAGTAAATTATTTAAATTAAAGTAAATTGAGTTAAAATATTTTAATATGAGTAATTCATGAATTTAATCAAAAATTTAAATTTTAATAAATTTTAATTTATTTTTAAATAAAAAATTATTATTTTATTTATATATTAATTCAAATAAATAATTTTGAATTTAAAATAGAGTATAAAAATTAAATTTATTTTTATTAAACGAATAGGAATTCAAATAATTCAAATCCTATTTCAAATCAATCTCAAATTTAAAAATTAGAACACCGTCAAATTCGGATCAAATTTAAAATGAAGCTGGAACTCGATTACAACGCTGGTGGAAACCAAAACTACACCCCTAGTGTAGACCAAAATGAAAACAATGCGTGGTTATGGTGGGCGACTGGTGATAATGGTGAAATTTCTTTATGCCAATGTTCTGTTCTAAGGGAAAATATTTTTATGTCATGCAGAATCAATTAAAAAGCTGATAGGATTCGTAAACCCGACAAAAGTGAATGGTAAAGGAATATCATATTGCAAACAACAGGATACTGCCATCGTTAAGAAGATTGTTTGAAGAAAACAATCAACAAAGATACATTAGCTAAAAGAACACAACATCAAAAACTACAGCTGCCCCTATCTGCATTATTTAATGACACCACACATCTAGAAACAACTGTACGTACACCATAACCAAAGCCACGAACACCCCCAAACAATTCCTCCTGTTGCAGATGGCACAGCTTCATCATGTTTCTCTCTAGCCCTGTTTTTCCACAAATGAGTAACACTTTCGGGAGAGAGACATACATATTTCCTTGTCATGACCTTAGAGCTTCACTTCTCTATCAAAAATCCAACTGAATGAAATACTGGGTGCTTCCTTGGCTCTTTCTTGAGCTCTCTCCTCCAGCCTTCTAATTCTTGGAGCAAGTCCACACACAAAGTCTTGGGCTTTACGCCCATCAGCTGAAAGTCCGGTTAGGTCCTTCACCTTCCATCTGTCAACCAGGTACTCTACTATATCAGCATAGTCCTTGGCAGTGTAAACCCCAAGTCTTTGGGCAACAGCTGAGTAGTGGTCGAAAAGGGTGTCATCTCGGCCATCATAGATGAACTCGGCTGGCATGGTGATTTTCTTCCTCATCATGTCAGCAAAGGCCAGGACTGTTTCATCAGGATCAATTTCAAAGAGCTTTTCAACAATTTTGGTGTATGCAGTCTCATGACGCTTTTCATCTGATGCAATGCTACCACAAATTTGAGCCAAATTCATGTCCCCGTGCTCCTTGGCAAGCCTGGCTGTATTTGCATGGGAGATGAAAGTTGCCCTTTCTTGGAATGTTGTGTAGATGAATCCTCGATATGGACTATTCTCTGTATGGGGATCCTACAAATATACAGAAGAAAACTTAAAAAATTGATCAATAGGGCAAAAAGAGCTCAGTTTAACACCGTCGGATTGTAACCATATACAATGGCATCTTTCATGTTTGCTTTTGAGTGAAAAGTAATTAAATGTCAATAATCCTCCAAAATTGCACTCCTTAACGATGGTAAAAGAGTAAGACCTCATTAGGGGACACTTTTACAAAAATTTAGTGAAATTCCAAATGTGAAGTTGCGCAATGTTAATATGCTTCATTTTCACAAGGTTTTACCCCAAATTAGAAGATGAAAAGAAACAAAAAGAAAGGCGAACATGACTTTGAAGAACTATGTCCATGGGTTTTCTCCGCCCTCCACGCACAAAGAAAACACTACCAAAAGACTAAAGAAAATAGAACTTATACTGTCTTAGAGACTGCAATATGCTGTCCATCAATGAACTGCAAAGGATTCAATATAGTTCTGCACATTAAACGACGAGAAGTGAGTCAATTGTGTCGCAAGCATCTTACCATTCCTGATCCAATCAAATACTGGATTGTCTTCTCAACTTGCCTCATGTCCACTCTTCCAGACAAGTAGAGATACTTATTAAGTAGATCACCATGCCTGTTTTCTTCTGCCGTCCATGCCCTCGTCCAAATTGCCCAAGGAGTAAGGCTAGCACCTGTTTCATCACAAGTTCCATCTAAGGTATTGAGCATTGTTTGGTAAGTTGGAAGGGCTTCCTCTGTGATCATATCACCAACCAATACAACATAGTAATCATCTGGAATCTCCTTTGCCCTTTGCCTAAGTTCTTTGACTTGCTCCTCAAATCCATCCGAATTTGGATCAGGGAGAAAATCCTGGGGTTGCCAACATTTTTCAACTGGTTTGAGATGAGTTAGAATGTTCTTCTCAGCCCAGTTCTCCAAAGATTTAAAGATCTCAATCTTCTGAGGTGGCATGGAGTGGGTGACCTGACCATGCACCTCCCTAGGAGGCATGAAAGGCTTTTTGAGATTTTCAACTTCTCTGCATTATGTAAAATGAATTTGAAACTACATTCTCATAGATCAGATATATCAGTAAGGATTAAAAGGCAACAACAAATTATAAAAGCACAAATCCCATCTCACAAATTGGGCTACTGCATGTTCCAGGTATCCAGCACATGAAAACTATAAAGCAAGGTATAATGGAATATGCAATAGCAATGTAATTAGACAGCTTTATGTGTTCACAAAAAGAAAAGCAGTTCTGCACCAAAAAAAAAAAAAAGGAACAGCAGCTTTATTATGTGTAACATACCCTATGCCACTACTTACACTACCAGACTTAATTTCATTAATGGAGTCAATTAGTTACTTGGCTGTAAAGTATAATTCAATTTAGAAGGAAAATACTTTGTTGTTAACGGTGCAATTAATGTACAGCCACCAGAAATGACCAATACCAGGAAGAAAACTCAAGGAAAATTATTTACATGTTCTTTTTCTAGTACATGAATATTTTGCTATGACTCAAAATTTGCAAGGAAATAATAAAATATCCTTGAACGATAAATGGAAGTGAAGAATGTTGGAAGTATCAGCCAAATAATCTGTTGATTAAAGTGTTAACATAAAGTAGATTCAAAGACGAAACAGAAGCACCATCAATAAATTGTGCAAGAAATTATAAAAGACAAAGTTTAAAAAATTATCAACCATGAGAAACATTTTATTCTGTTTAAAAACCAGACCTAAAAACCAAAAAAAGGATGAGAATAACAGAGAACTGAGGACTCAGGACAACATATTCTGAACTACTTCTACCAAATGCAATATTCTTTTAAAAATATAGATTCAACAATATTGCAAAAAAAGTAACATGAGATTACTTAAAGGAAAAGAAAAAGGAAAGCCTTGTTACCTATCAACATGTCTAGAGAATCTAAACCACTTCCACCAACTTGAAACAAAGAAAAATGGAATAGAAGGAAATATAGTTGGAAAAAGTTTTAGAAAAAAAAATCAGCTAATAAAATGTAATTACACCAGATAAATGAACCAAAAATGAAAATATCATTTTGTGTGGAGACCCAAGATTTGAAATTGAATAAAAACACAGAAGGCACAGTGATATAGCAGAAACAATCTCATATAGCATGGAAACCCCAAGAGCATATGCAGAGACAGGCATGGATTAAGATCATAAGACATCACCAAACAAAAGAGAGGTCTTGAAAGCCATGTCAGATAGCAAAAATAACAAAAACCCAGATCCAAAATCAGCTATAAGTAAAGAAAGATCCATGATTTCACAAGAAAACAATGAATAAAAAGTAAACAAAAAAAAAAAAAAAAGACACTAACTTGGAGCCAGAAGGAAGAGTGGAGACCATGGAAACCTTGGGAGATCTGAGGCTGGCCTTTGGTGTAAGACCAAAAGAATGGAGTTTCTGAGATTGTGAGGCAAAGGGATTGAATTTCAAAGCCATTTTTTTTTCCTTTTCGCTTTAGGGTTTTTTTGGTTTTAAGACTCCCTCCGCTTTTGTTATTGTTTTGGTTTCACATCTTATATTTCCTCCACAAAAGAAAGACAGCCCAGGATATTTACTGGGTGCCACTTTAACATATTAGCCTTAACTTTTGTTTTAATTACAGATTGCCCACGCATCTATTCATGTTATTATTCCTCTCTTAAATTTTTCTCATATCCGCTAACTGGCAACCGTCACAATAACTCTTCTTTAAAATCAGCCTTTGTGAGTCAACAGATAGTTGACTAAACTTTAATTTATTATATTTAAATTAATTAAAAAATAATAAAACAAAATTTAAAATCCTTTAATACTAAAAATATAAACTAACGAAGATTTTGATAAACTATTCATAAATTAAGAGTGTAAACCAATAAATTTTTGATAAATTTTTTATAAATATATTTTATTTTTTAAGTATATTTATTAAATTTAATAATCAATCTTAACAATATTTTTCATATTCATTTATTAAATAAATCTAACACAAATAAGAGTTTGTCTGATTTATTTATATTTATTAATAAATTTATTTAAATTTCATTTATTTATTTTGTTTATTATTTATTTGTTGTTTATTTTTAATAATATTAACAAAATTATATTTTTATCTTTTATTTTAATTTAATTTAATTTATTTAAATTTATTTATTATTTATTAACATGTTTATTTATATTATTTATTTAATAATCATGAATAAATTCATTTAATTTTATTAAATTAAATATAAATAAAACATAAATATTTTAATAATTAAAAGAATCAAATTTAAATGAATAAAATAATTTTTTTATCAAATATAAACTGAATTCAAATATGTTTAAAAATAAATAAATAAATCACGTAAATATATAATATTCGTTCGATAATTTATAATTAGGTAATCATTTTCGGTCCTATTTAATACTAATTAAAAAAAAGTTTTCTTATTATAAAACAAACAATATAGATGATTTTGGGATTTTTATGAATGTCAGCCGGCAAAGTCCAACACCAATTTTTTAAAATGTTTTTTGTTTGTCTTGTCCTTGTACTTAACAAACGATGAAGATGAAATGGGACGTCTGTTCCTTGCCAGCTGGTGTCGTCCCAATATAATCTCTTTAAAAATAATTTTTTTATTAAATAAATAGTTTTGAGCCTCTCTAGAATGTCTTAAATAAAAGTATTTAATGTCTTCCTAATCTTAGCCTTTAATGGTTAAGTTACATTGATGAAAGCATGTAGACGAAAATTTTAATTCCGTCATCTTTTCTAATTTTGCTTTTTTATAAATCAATATATATGTGTTAAATAAGTATTCGATGAAAATTATATATTATAATTAATATTAATATAAAAAATATAAATATATATTTTAAATTTTATTAAAATTATATATAATTTTTACAATAATTTTAATTTTATAATTTTTAATTTTTTAAAATTATTTTTATAACATATCATCAAATTATATTTTAAATTATTATATTTTTCTTATCAAGTCATGTTTCGATATATTTCTTTAAAAAATAATTTTTTTATTAAATGAATAGTTTTGAACCTCATTTATATATGGGAATAGTAGATACGTATTAAGTACAAAAATTAAATAAGTAATGGATGGCTCAACGACTCGTCAAAGATACTTATTGAATGAATGAATTTAATCACATTAATCATTTTTTTAAAAATATATTATATATACGTAACAATTATATAAAATATTATTAATAATTAATATATTTATATCGTATTTTATATAAAAATTATATATTATTATTAGTGTGACTAAAAAAATATAAAATATATTTTTTATTTTTATAAAATTTATATATAAAATTTTAATAATTTTAATTATGTTCTTGTTATATAATTTTTATATTATTTTTAAAATATATTATTATATTTTATTTTAAATTATCAAATTTAATAAATTTCATTCACGTAAAAATTTTATAATCAATTGAAGAAAAGTAAAATTAAAAATGCATGCATGTATAAATTAAGTGTTCAACACCTCACACACTATTCAAAAATTATAGCAAAAATGTTAATGGACCGACAATTAAAGATGCAGTCGATGGATAATCACCATAAGGAAAATTATTTTAAATGTGCTCCTATGTTTCCACTACATGCATATATAATTTATTTAATTTTAGTTGTTATTAATCTATTTGAGTATAATATTAAATTAAAAAATGTTTTAAAAACGCACTTTGCGGGAAAGAAAAATTCATAGTTCATTTTCATCGAGCTTTAACTTTTTATAATAAATTTATAACATTGTATATTTGTGTTATATAAAATATTAATAAATTTATATATTTATATTATATTTTAAATAAAAATTATATATTACAATTTATATTTACATGAATAATTTAAAATATATAGTTTTATTTTTATTAAAAATATATATAGCTTTTATTAAAATTTTAAATAATATCATTTTTATTTTTTTTCATACGTTTTTTTTAGTGCTTTGAATTACAAGTTTAAAAAATCCAACTGTAAGGAATGCCAGATGCTTCTAGAATATGAGCATAGCTGAGAAGTGGTCGAAAAGGTTGTCATCTCCGTCGTTATATATCACAAATTGGCTAGCCTGGCTGTTGGGGATCCATTCTTTAAATTAGGACGTTTAAAAAATAAGAAATTTGGAAATAATTTTTTAAAAATATTACTTTATTGATAAAATTAATAAATTTAATTATATATCATAAATGATATCAATCTACTAGCATGAGAAATTTTCCCCGTCCATGTCAGCAAATGTCAAGACAGTTTCACGAGGATAATCTCAATGAGAACAGAACGGATATTTATTATTTTTTAAATATATAAATTTATTTAATATTGATAATATCTGAATTTATTAAATATTTATTTAAATTTAAATTTATTTAGATAAATATTATTTGTTTAATTATTTGTTTATTTAAATTTTTAGTCAAAATAAAAAACAAAAATTTTATTTAAAATTTATGTTCACTTTTAATTACTAATAAATAAAACTTATTTTTTAAGATTGAAACTTTTTACAAATATAAAATTTTATATATTATATATATATATATATAAATAGATAATAAATTTATATATGAATTCTTATATCAGTTACTATTTATTAAAATTTAGATAAATTTAAATATTAAATATTTAAAAAATATTATTGTATCCATTCTGAATTTATTATGAATAATAAATTTTTTATCTAAATTTATTAATTATCTATTTATAATTATTTAAATTTGATATAAATAAATCGAATAATAACAAATTTGTGTTTATTTATTATTTATTACCATCCTAATCTCAGACAGCCTTTTAACTATTTTAGTTTAGGTTGTGTGATGGCGCTTTTCATGAGGCAATCATTCATACGGCATGTTTGAGCTGATGTCCCCATGCTTCTTCTCAAGTTTGGCTGTATTCCCATGGGAGATCAAAGTTGGTCTTTTTTAGAATGATTTGATGAATCTCATGTATAAATATTATTCACAATAAGATAATTTACAATGATGGATTGATAAAAATAATAGGAGTTCAATTTCAAAACTAAATATATAATCACAATTGTGTTCCAGAGCTCCAAAGAATGTGAAGTTTCAAATTAAACCATAAGAAGTGAGTTAATTATAGTTACCGTTCCTATCGAGTTTTGAGTTAAAAGAGTAAAATTTTAAAATCATAAAAATTAAAAAAATAACGGTTAAAAAGATAAAAATTAAAAAATTAAAATTTTTTTTAAACTTTACGTTTTCGATGCTCAAATTAAAAATTGATAAAAAAATAAAAAAAATGAAACGTGCAAATAATACCTAAATAACTCTATTTATAGTTAAAGATAAAAAATTTTGAGACGATTTAAGCAATTTAAGATCAATTTTATGATTAAGATGATTTAGTAAGTCGAATTGATATGATCAATAATCATTCACTTAAAAAATGATAAATTAGCATAAAAAAATTTTAAAATAAATTAATGAAATGATTAAATTGATATAATATTATACGTATTAAATCGATTAACAGCTACTATTATCAAATTATCTCATGCAAACAAGTAGAGATACAAAATAATCATCTGGAATGTCCTTTGCCCTTTCCCTTTGCTCATGAAATCCATCAGAGGCAGGCCCTGCAAGAGAATCCTGGGGCTGCAGCATTTGTAAATTGGTTTTGAGGTGAATTCTGCACCATCACTAGAAATGACAATGTGTCATATTGGAGTTGATTTTTATTTATTTCGAGCTTAATTTTATATAATAAAAAATTAAAAATTTGAAAATATTATTTTTATATCAAATTTAATTTGTATATATATAAAAACTAAAATTAAGTTGATTTGATTTAAAATTAATAAAATATTTTTAAAATATAAAATATAAATAAATAAAAAATTAAATAAATAAAAAATATTTTATATATATCGAATCAAATTAGAATTGATATACTTAAAACTTAATTTTGATTTTTTTCAAAAAAAATTGATGTAATCTAAATTGATTTAAAAATCAATTTTAAAATTTTTTTATAAAATCACATCGAATTAAAATAGATAAATTCAAAATAAATTGTTAACCTTAATAATCACCCTATAAAAAAGAAACCTATAAAAAAAGAAAGGATTTGAGAACCTTGATAGTAACCGTTTCAAAAGACAATGGAGCTCCACCTGCAATGCGATGAAAAGACACAAAAGACTTGGATTTCAAACCAAGTTCGCCTTCCTCTTTCAATAGGCTTTGCCTCCACTCCTTTGAAACCCAACAAAAAAAAAATAATAATAGAGCATTGCAAGACAAAACAAAAATAGGGAAGAGATGACAGAAATTGTCAGATGAGATATCAAGTCCCCCGACAGAATCTCAGTACTCAGGGCCAAGTGTTAGCGTCATGCAACTTCATGTCCGTGTTGTTCAGAACCCACATTTGACAATTTTAAATATAATATAATAATATAATAAAAAAAAGTTATATGAAAAATATAACAATAATATAATTTAAATTTAATAAAATTTGATTTAATTGATATATTTGAATTTTTATTTACAAAATTTAA